TGTTTCAGTCAAATTCGCACTTGTAGCCTCACTTGTTGGCGTGATTTCAATTATCTTTCCTTTTTCTTTCCTTTCTGAAGTCTCAGCAAAAAAAGAACAAGGCTAATCTTTGAATAGAACAGAAAGACGTAGGCTTGCTGGAATGTATGCAATGGGTTATGACATTTTCTAGCATTCAAAATGTGACGAAATGTATAAGTCGTGCATGCTGATACATTGGAATTTTAAATATTAAAATATCATACTGGAGCCATTGAATGCATAGGCGTAGGGTAGCCTTCACCGCGAGTTTGGCAACAAACTCGGTGGATCATTCATAAACGGTAAGAAAATTTAGTAGGAGCAAGACCATAAATGGATTTCTAATAAATGGATATTAAAAGTATAATTAAAAGAAAAATGAATAATTTGCAACGAGGACTTTGACCTAAAGCTGATGTGCTCCATTCCTCAATTTTTACTGAGTCATATTGCACTCAAACTTAAATCTTAAATTAATCCCAACAAATCAAATACACATTTTGCTTTCTTACAGATTGTTACCACTGTTTATACAACACTCAAGCTATTAGGAAAGCAATGTCAATTCGGCGTGGGTTAAAACAGTGATCAAATTCAGTGAAAATTAGTGAGAGTGACGCATTGACAGAACCAAAATAGCATGAAACACGGTAATATTGGGAATATACCCTAGAGGGCAGAATTTGCTCTTTCACTTTCGTCTAGTAGTCGAGATTTGACTTCATTAGAGCTTTAATTACTCACCCTTAGGACTACAATCAATCACCGAACACTTCCGAAACCTCTTGAATTACTGAATCTGTCTCTTTTACCATGCTAACATTGACGTCTGAAGACTTGGGTTTTTAGTTTTGACAAATGTAAACACTAAGGGCATTGTTCAACCCAAAATTTAGCAGTTAACAGTTAAAACACAATAGCATGTTGTCCTTTGGGGGTCGTGGGGGATAGGAAGACGGCTGTGGCGGGGGTAGGAGAGGTTGATGTTCCTTAATTAATATGTTGAAACGTGATTCACTGGACTTGGAGAATACCAATGAAAAGGAAAAATGTACTTTCATAACCATCAAATCTGTGGTATATATAAAATCAATACAGAAAGGACTTGAGTTCGATAGCGACCAGAAGTTTTCTGGTGTATTTCTATGGGTTTACAAAGTGCTGTTTTATGTAGAGACATCCGATCTGTACTACAGACCATTCTCCATTTATCGCATCCATCACCCACGGACTTTTGCCGCCGAAATTTTACACGATTTTCAATCTTTTGACAACTTATTTATTACTAATGCCATTTGGCAGTAAAATGGCAGGCCTGTTTTCTTTTTGATCTTTAGTTGCGTGTCGGTATTGTTTTTATACTGAGCGTTTTGTGACATTGACGGAAGTAAAACATTTATCTTTGAAAGAAATAAATGTGTTTTGATAATCAACATTGGATGATTGCTTTGATCCAATTCCAGACATGGCCTAAAACATATCAATATAAGATCAGTGGTCTCAGGAAAAAAAGAAGAAAAACCAGTCTCATTTTCTGTGCCAAGCAAAATAAAATACCAAAAGCTATGATAACTCATAAGATCTTACCCGTAGCATATTTTGAATGTGAAAACTTAAACAGCATTGCCGGATACGCTTGCTGTCCATCAGAAAAAGCTTATATGGTAACAAAACTGATGTGTTAAGTTAAGCAGCAAAATTAGAGGTAACAACTTTTTTTTATCATTGTCTTAGCATTTAGAGAAATGAGCGTCTTCTTTGGGACTGAAGCACACCGACAGCGTTAAGAAGCAATGAGGATAATTGTGAAATCCCCGGAAGCCCAAAGCAAATATAGATAAAAGGGGGGAAAGATACTTTTTTGAATGAATGATAATGTGTCGGTACTTAAAGGTGAAAATAACTGTGACGAACCAGTGTAGTACCACACCTAAAGAAGCTTTAATTGTGTTTATGAAAGCTAATTTACTCACTTATTCACCACTATATTGCTGTCTTTTATTTCGATTTATAATAACAAACTTCACTCTGTCTTCTCAAGAAGCTACTAGACTAATTATCTTCCCTTAAAATCGAAGAGCTTCCTGCCCAAACAGCCGCTTTAGATGCCATTCAAGTTCAATGTTTAACGTTTGTTGTTGTTGTTTCGATTCAATTTCGATTCTTCCTAATCCTCCAAAGCCAAATAAAACCTCTTTTCTCATATTGATAAACATGTAGGTGGTCGCTCTTGATAAATAATCCTTGTACAAATCGCGCCCATCGCCCCTGGAGACGTTGCATTAACCCAGAGAGAGGAGAATAATTAAACAGATGCACGCACATGTTTTCTGCATGCTTGAATGTGTTTGCCGCACAAATAAATACGAGCATCACCAAGAGAGGCCTTGGATATGAATATATGCGCTAGTGATATGACTTTTTGGTATGCATCACAAAACAAACAGTCAAAACCAATCTTTAAAATGTTTTGCTCGGTGATGTTTATGAATGTTGTAAGTTACATTTTGTCTTAGTTTGAACTTATTGAAATCGTATATGTCATATTCTTTTGAAATATTCCATCATTTTAGCAAGGGTGTATACATGTGTATGTGACGAATACCGACGGTCCAGTAAATATCTACCATACTTTGGCAAAAGGTTAGCAAATGCCTTTCAACTGAATCTGATTCATTTCGGACTAGATAAAACGCGGTGTAATTTCCCATCGGAATTTGACCACAGAAGAGTATCTTTGTCAAAAAACAAAATGGCTGTCAATGTATGCATTGCGTTAAAGGTAAAACTTGGCCTAAAGACTTGCTATCCTCGACAAAAAGATCCTCGATAAGCCCTGTCAATAATCTTTGTCTGGTCAAAACGTCTTTTTGTTACAGCCTCACAACCCAAGATGCTGCATTCTGGTACGTGCTGCTTATAATCACCAGTTACAATTAGCAACACTGCCCTGTTAATGGATGTGAACAGACAGTGGTGACCACTAGTATTTTAATAATGTTTATTTAGCTCAGTCTGGATACGACCTCCTGTAGGGCACTCTGTCAGAAGAGCCCTCCAGTCGATACTTGCTGTGTAGGGATAACAGTGTTTCAGAACATGAATATAGTACCAGAGGTAGAACAATTAATTTGCAAATAGTTTCGAAATCATGAGGATTCAAGGTCAAATAAAGTCTTAATGCAGACCCAGCACTTTTAGCGCATTACGTTGCTTAGGGGATGGGTAAAACTTGTAAGGAAAAAGGGGGAACGAGAGAACGAAGGAGCTGGGACAGAGGCCAGTGCGTCCACGGACATAATTGCACAGAGGTCTACCGACTGTTCCTTTGTTGCGCGTCTGAACAATTTTAATTAAAGCTTGTTGATTAATCTTATGATTATCATTAACTACATGTATGGCAAAGCATTTAACTGGTCTAAAACAAACTCAATTTCACCATTAGCAGTCTTAATGGATACTTGGACATACTGCAGTCCCAATTCCATATAATCGTATATAGTCATCATCTATTCCCGACAGCACATTCCCACCTGACTGACGCACATTATGCTCGGTGTCTGAAAGCAGCGTATGGTGCACATAATCAACCTAGAAATGGTAATGTAAAAAGGAAATCCTGTTCAATTGGCGGTCCTAATTACAGTATATGTTACGAAATAATAAGAGATTGGCAGTTTGGATACAAGACACTTGATGTCAAAGTTGCTATCGCCACGGATAATAGGCTGTGAGTAAAGGCACTTGAAACCAATTATAAGTGAATGAGATTGTAATTAGGAGTAATGGTGACCTAAATACCCACTGTTTTAGTTCAGTGGAAGCGAATTACATTGTAAAAAGTGTTGGACAATGGAATTAAATTAAAGCGTTGCAGTGGGCGTCTGTGGCAATAGGTAACATAATAGGCGTACAGCTGATACTTTTTCTATGTATTATCTGTAGGCCATCTTGCTATTCACTTCCCCCCATGGTGTTTGTGGACATTGCAAGTTTATATCTAAATATAAATGTATAGATCAAAATATCATGTGTTGTATGTAAAAAAAAAGAGGAAAAAAGAAAAAAGAAGAAAAAAACAGCAGGCAGTTTGCTTAACACCTAATGAAAGTCAGACTAATTAGAAAAGATATTGGCAGCATTTGAGCAAAGCAAAGTTAACTCAGATCCAATACAAATACGTGCTGTGTGTATGTTATGCAGCAAGGCAGATGTTCTTGTCTTGAAACATAGTGCAACATATTCTCTGTAAATCTATTCCAACAGAAGACGTGGTTACAAATGAAAGGTCCTTGTGGCTTTGAAGCAGGTCGTCCAGGTCACAGATCAGCGCTCCCGGGAGCTAAAGAACAGGCTTGTGATCAGATAAGAACTGAACTGCTTGTTTCACAAGTCTACAAGGGCTTAAGGGGTCGGCCAATTACTTTCTTTTTGATGAGTCTTTTGCATCAGGGAAACCGAGGCGCAAACCTTTATTCAAATCTGAGGTCAAGGAACACGCTTAGCTGATGTCGTAACATGTATGTAGATGTTGGCATTTCAGAAGATACGTTAAGTTAACGGATTTAATTTGGGTTGGAATGGATATGCAAAATTACATCAGACGCCGAGTACATCTTTAATTTGAAGGCATTGATTTGCTACGACATTTGACTGGGTAGAATCTATCTCTAGGTACCAGGCTATATACTAGCCAAAAAGAGAAACGCAAGTTTTGTTATGTCTATGGATCATACTTCTCCATTCTTGCACCAGTGCAGTTGTTAACTTTACGACGGTGGTAGGCTGTTACTGGCGGTTATTAAGTCGTCTGCTTAGTTCATCCCGTGTAACGTGACAGAGAGTCCCCCATGACAAAGAGTCCGCTTCCCATTCATTTGTAGAGGTAAATCTCGCCCTAGATTTTGACCCACTTAGGTCAGGCCAACCCTTACCATTATAACTACATGGAGGGCGGACTTTCTGTTAGACGGAGCCTCAGACTCTCTACACCGGGTGTGCTCAATGGGAGACATTTCTGGTCTGAAGAAGAAGAGTCTTGCTGCAGGTGCGTATGTGCTAAAAACCTGGTAATATATGGACGGGCATTGTCTGATAGAGAAAGCGTAGGTTTGGGTGTTGATACATGAATGACACAATCATCACGAGCCCTGTCTGGAAATTGCCTTTTATACCAGCCCAAACCATAACACTGCGCCAATGGTTATGACAATGGCACGACCCCTTTCCAGATTAAACAGCCGTGGCATGATGTCACCATGGAATTCGCTCACCGAAACTCAGTTATCCGATTCCAGCGTCCACTAGCATTGATTATGGACAACTAAATTATGTAAGACTTTTGTCCGATTTGTGTTCAGATGAGATTGTCCGAAATCACTCAAGCGTATGGTTTTCCGTCACTGAATACATTAATGAATACAAACGTGTATTTTTGGGCATTTTGAAGCACTGGCCGAAACAAAAGTTTACTTTTCTTCACGTACTGTTTTAGAAATCATTTAAAATGTTTTACTAGCATGGACGGGAGAGTAAACATAAGAGATTATAAAGGGGGAGGGGTATCGAAACGACGATCAAAATTCAGTAGTACTTAAATAGAATGTTTTGTGGCAATGATTCCGTCTACATTAGCTTTCTTTCTACGGTATATACAGCACACACATTTTAACTTATAGTAGGGCCACTGAAGATTCTCTATAGTTGGTCTAGAATATTTCTTATTCGATTTCAGATTAATTTAATTCGTGCTTGCCCCCCCCCCCTCCTTAAAATGCAAGTAGGGGTATCAGACAATAGTACATATATTAAACTGGTTTATATGGGCTTTTCTTTTGGTCTAATTAGTAATTGTCTTTACAAAGTGAAGTTATTTTTCGCATATCGTTGGGAAATATGACAAATACGCCGTATCACTAGTTCTAAATTAAGACCTGCACCAGTCACCTTAATATCATTTTCTCTAAAAGTACTATAAAATGATTCCGTGATAGTCCTATTACTCTTAATAGTCACCTGATAATGCAATCTTGCCGGTCGAAGAGATATTTTGCTGTCAAACAAATTCAATTCCTTGAGATGCGGTCCGCCTGTTTCTTAAGAATGTTGCGGCCGTAATATAATAAACGGCACCCCGAAAGACACAGCGGATCATTATGTCTACGTTTACCAAGTGCTTTTCTATCACTCTGAACAGAGCAATGTGTTTTATCCAAATATATATATATATATGTATCGAAGCTCTTGATTATTCTCAGTAATCCTCGCATTTTATGCAACTCTAATTGAAGCAATAATACTCGTCTTCAATAATCGCGCTCTTTTCAAAATATGATTGTTTTAAATAAATTTCTACCACAAGAGAAATTAAAGAGTATATCTAGGACTATTTTGCTGAAATTGCTTCTATTGACAATAAAATCGAAAATGTGGCAAAAATCGCGACATCTTTCAAAATTTAGTTACATGTGTACCGAATCATCGTTTTAACGAAGTATGTATCTTTGATAAACGCTGTAGTTTTGGTAAAACCATTGTACCAGAAGGTTTTGTAGATGAATCATGAGGATCGATCTACTTTCAAAACGATCATGAGACGAAGATGATATCTATATGCCATTAAGCAAGTAAACCATCACTGATGTAATTTGGACGACATTCACAACAAATATCCCTCTTAGGAATGATGGTCCATCGTAGAATGTAAGCCCATTTCTATTATTTATGTGTATTCATGCAATATGTGATTATCATTTAAATCAATGTATAGTTAGGGCAAAACCATTTAATTGTAAATATGGGTTTACACATTAACACATTATTTTCCCAGTAAACAGCCCAGGCAGCACTAGACATACCGTTGTCAATTTCAGATCTTAAACTGGAATAAGGCTTCGGCAACAGATATAGATTAAAACAGATAGAACAATTTACTGAAAAGGAAAAAAACAGAAAATTTTCCATTAATTTCATTGGGTTATTCCCTGCTTTATAAAGCTTTGAAGATTGGGGTGAGATATTTGAACATTTGCTGTTTTACATTTCATAAAATAGCATTACATAAATAGCTTTCCAAAATAACAATTCTTGACTACTGCAAATGTATCAGTTGTGCCTGAAACAAACCTGATTTCAAAATTAGAAAAGACTCCTTAACCAGCTGAAATTGCATCAGTTTCGACTGATTACTATATGTAAATAAGGCACAGGGGCAGAGGTAATGGCGCACGCGTGAAAGGACGGATAGAGAAACTATACGCAAACAGGGCTTGTGTAATGTTTTTTAAAAATGCATGTGCCTCGCCTTATAATCTTACTAGTCCTTCACGTAAGAGAGTAACAGGTTTGGCATTTGGTATAATTGGGTTATTTGCTACTGAGCAACAGAAAACTACAATGCTATTGCAAAATAGATATTACAACACTTTGTATCATAAGAAATGCAAGGCTTTACTAAGTCGTTTTTAATCATCAAGACAATAGGCAATAACAGCTACATGTACACACACTGGACAATAGAAGTGTCACCCATACTTAACCAATACTATGGGGGAGATAAATGACTGTGGAATGATATGCTCCTGGTATCATTTTATTAACATCAAATTTCACAAAAAATCACAAATGAGAACAAAATATACATTCTACCAATATATGCAGTTTCAAGTCCAAAATTAGTACTTAGTGGCATAGCCACGTGACCTAATAATAGGTGCCAGTCTACGAGGCAAGGATTCACATAATTGTCTGATGCGTTCAGGGCTTATGCTGGCCCAAGCATGAAACACTGGATATAACAGAGTTTGTCTGCTGGTTGGACGGGCATTTGTCAAAAGTTTTGACACATTTTCATTCCACACATTTTCTATTATGTTTGCATCTGGACTCTGGGCAGGTCACATGACTCTGCGAATGCCCTGTTGGTCAAACCAATCATCAACTGCCCTGACAAGGAGCATTGTCATCCTGTGAACAAATGGATAATTCCTGTCACCAAACGTGTTAGTAATAGATGGTAGCAACCTGACTCCAAAACATCGATATATTTCTAGTGATTCGTGTTTCTATCAACCACTATCAATTCGCCCACGCCATGGATGCTGATGCAGTCCCACACCATTATAAATATGCTGCTCCGGGTTCGAAAATTCAGTGCATGTGGTTCAAATGCTTTACCAGCAGTTCGCCAGCATCGTACCCGTCTGTCATCAGAGGTCAGACTAAAGCGACACTCATCAGAAAAAAACATATAGGACCAATTGTCATGGACTGTCCAGTTCCAGATCCTGTTGACCCTAGTTCACTCTACGTTGCCTGTTTTGTAACGATATAAGAGGTTTCAGTCTTGCTACCCTGCTGTACACTCTATGAGCATGTAACCGACGCCTAGCAATTTTCACAGACACATTCTTATGTGTGAAATTGTTCCACTGTGTTGTCAACTGACAAGCAGTGTCGAACTTTGACAACCTGGACATCAAAATCAGTCGTCGGTCTTCACGGCCAGTAGTTTTTCTTGGACGACCCATCAGAGGCAATCTGTCTCTTGATCCAGTGTTTCTATACCGAGACCAGACCCTCTGCACGGTTCTGACTGAACAATTCAACTGTATCGATATTCTGACATTGCTTATATTCCGCCTCTTCAGGTTAATAACTTGTACCTATAACCGTTAGATAATTGCCTGTATCTTGCCATATTGCAGGAAGACAGGAATAACATTTGCTGTACATGTACAAGACCAACAGTACAATTCCATGATATAGCGGTTTTATACTCATTAGTCACAATATAAGTAGACCAGGCATTATAACTACCCAAGATCTGCCTATTTTTATTACTCTGAGTTAGGGGGTGACACTTCTATTGTCCAGTGTGTGTATAATGGAGAAACGAGACGAACTAGATATGGTAGGTATTTATGTCACTGCAATAATGTCACATGAAAATGTGTACATGTGCACATAAATCCAAATGGGTGTCCAATGTTTATGAATGTCGTTGGTTGTGCACTTCACAAACGCTAGTAGAAGCACCACGGACTATTAAGTGATGCAGCATTGACACGTAAACGGTTTATGTGAAGTAAAACTAGTTGAATGCAGTATTATATCTACAGGGGGTTACACATGTATTGCATCATGTTGCTTAAGGAGAAATGGTAGTCTGTAGGGTTTTTCATTTTGTATTTTATTAAATTTCGATCATGTCAATAAGTTTACTTCAGGTTTAAAGACCAGAGCTTTATCCTTAAATTGAATTATGTTATTATGTCAATATCAATTATATTTTGCAAGATAGCCACTTAGTTTCAAAATGGCCACCATCCTTCTGGTAATAGACTTATGAAGGCGTAGTAATCTATTATATTGGCACAGGCTCGTAAGACTGGTAAAGGGTCGGCCCTCTGCCACTCATCTTCCAATGTGACCTTACAGGTTTTCAGTGGGGTTGGCGTCTTGGGATTACACACCCACCCTGCTGATACCTTGCTAATGAAGCCACTCTAGGTCGTCTCTGGTCTTGTCTTTTGTGGCATTATCATTCTGAAAAAGGAGCTGATGATTCCTTGGGTATTGGTTCTGGATTCCAATGTGAATAAGGTTTCCATTAACCAGCAAAATAGTTCACCAATTACGTAGATAGCGATGCACCATTATTGAAGTTAAACCATTATTGAAGCGGAGAAAACCATCTGCTTTGGCAGATAAGCAGTATGCTGATGTTTTGCATGCTCCAACCTCTCCACCTGCGCTGTTAACTGTCAACATGCCCTCATCAAAAAAACACAAAACGACACAATTTCGACGTCTACCCACCAGTGTCCTCCATCCTATATGTAACCAGTGGCACTATATAACACACACCTTTTCCTGAGAAACAACCTTTTGGCGTTGTTGGTTTGTGAGCTCCCGTACCTTTACAGTGGTTAGCGACTTGAAAGGGACGTTACACGTTCGTTGACGCCCTTTACAGTATACATGGAAGAAACCCTACCGCGACAGATAAACTGCAAAGGAAATTTTACCAAAGTCCCCCCCCCTCCCCAATGTCACAAAGAGCAGTATTTATTCAAATGTTGTGATACTTTAGTCACCCTCTGTATTCGTATGAAAACACAGAGATAGAGCTTTTCTCGGGTCTTTGGAAACAAAATGACTCTCACAGTACCGTTCATTAATAAAATCGAGTTCCATGTACAAAAATACATCAAGTGTTCCTTTCAGGAGTGTGAATTGCAATAGATATTCTTGTAAACGTGTTCGAATCCTTTTATGTAGTTCTACTTACAACTAAACCTTTCAATTTTTTATTTCAATAGGTGGATATTCCACAGCAAAAATACGATCAGAGGCAGTGCCAAGACTGGTTTATTTCATGTAAATCAAATTTTCTTTGCAATTCCGGAAGCGCGAGAATTGTCCTGTACCAATCACGAAGTTAATCATCTTGAAAACAGCCTTTCACGTTTTAAATGGGAAAGCCTGACAAGGGTCCCAGTTGGGGATTGGCGTTTCTTTTGCTTGATAAGGTCCTAATGTCTGTACCATAGACGTCATGATAGCACTAATGCAACGATTTATCAATTAATGGAATGGCAGCGTACATTATGTTCTTGAAATACTCGAAATTGAAACGCATTCGGTATCCACGGCCATCCCCGAACTGTTGTATGCAATACGTAAATATTATCTGATATGCTGAAAAGATATATTATTTGATTTTTCAGAGTTGGAGCCGTCTGCTACCAAGCGAACAGTAGGTTTTCATCTGTGAAGATACCGATGGTTGACAACAGGAAGATTTTCAACTTTGTGTAAGTTCATAAGGACGGAATGGAATCAGCAAGAACCGTATATCCAACTTCAAGGCACATTGCTCTTTATGGAAATACTAGCTTTGTGCCTATGGATGGCGTTAATAATACTGGACTAAATGGATCTTCCGAAAATGGATCGGACTTCTTATTGTCGGCTGAACATCCGACATACTTAAAAGTAACTCTAATACTTCTATACGCGGTTATAATAGTTCTTGCCATTGGGGGCAACATACTGGTATGTTACGTCGTGATTGCCTACCAGCGCATGCGCACAGTGACTAATTACTTTATAGTTAATCTAGCTATAGGAGATATCCTAATGGCGGTGTTTTGTATACCAATGACTTTCGTTGCTAACATTCTCCTACAGTACTGGCCTTTTGGTCCATTCCTGTGCCCAGTGGTTTTGTACATACAGATAGTTTCAGTATTCCTCAGTTCATTCACACTCGTTGCCATTAGCCTTGATAGATTCCGGGCCATAATTTTTCCTCTTAGCCAAAGATTGTCCACAAAACAAGCCATATTTATCATATGTGTGATATGGTTCATGTGCCTAGCTGTAGCTTTGCCGACACCTGTGATGTCACACCTGGATGAATTCAGTCGCTGTTACGAGGACTGGTACAAGCGCAGCATGGAATTTCACTACACACTGTGTATAATGATTCTGCAGTATTTTTTGCCTTTGTTTGTGCTTACTTTCACATACTTATGTATTGGCATTGTGACTTGGGTTAAGAAGCCACCGGGAGAGGCAGAAGATGGTAGGGACCAACGGATGGCTGCCTCCAAACGAAAGGTGAGATCGCCTTTACAGATAGAGCTCGTAATCAAATGCATTGAACGTTTGACCAAATCTTACAAAACAATGTGCATGTATTACGCTTCATATTTCAAGCATTTATAAAGGAAAGTGGTTTGATATTTAACAAAATATACAACTGTTTTATGTAGCTAGTCAATTATACATGTACAGCATGTCACATTTTCTATGGGTGAATCAATCATTGTCTGGAAATTTACGAAAAGACAAAAATGTCAGAAACTGATATTTGCCGTCGCTTTCAACCAGGTCCATCTTTGCAGTCTCATTCTGAAATTTGGGAATCGAATCCTCTTGAACAAGTGTGGGTATTTCCTCAAATCATTATGAACGTTGAAGTTTCTAGATTTATGACAGGGGTAACTGGTAACTATTTGATACAGGGATCAGATATGGATGCCTTTGATGTCAATTAATTTAAGTTGACTAGTAATTTAATGTAAGGAATAAAAATCCTGTTCCTCGGGTTGTATTTAGAATAAAGCGTGGCTTAATCTAGGGTTGGATTAGACTAATATCCACATACGCAGAATCAAAATTGTCCCTTAATGTTAGCCCAAGAAATTGACAAAGACCCACCTGCAACGACAGTTTTGTGTATAAAGTTATGTTATCTTCATGACCTTCATCACTTCCACATGATATGCTTGGGGTTTACATTTGATATTGGAAAAGAGGATAGCAATTAGATTCATATCTTTCTTGTTAAAGCGGAAATTAATATGGAAGTTTTTCAGAGAATTCCAAAAGCCAGCTCCGAGGTCATCACAATATGTTCTCTGTGGTAAACCCTGTGGGCATTTTATGAACTTTCCGCCGTGTTGTATAGCTAGCGTAATGTACCGCCGGCAACGTAATACGTATACCAAAGAAGAAATTGAAATGTCAACTGAAAATATTATTCTTTCGCTAACCCTCTTAATTTATCTAACCTTAGTGATAAGTAGTTTACTTGTTTACTCATTTCAGGCTTAAGCTGTTTGTTAAAAGTAAGAAAGCTGTCTTAAATGAGTCAAAAAAAGTTGCAATTATTGCTTTTGAGGTGTAACGGTCTGAATTTACTAGAAGTGTGCTGAAGTAGAAATGTAATATTTCGCTTTTTAGAACGCTACTGTATCTCTCTCTCTCTCTTTTTCTCTCTCTATTATTAGAATATGACAATGTGTTTCCATTCCTATTTTCACACTTTTAAAAGTGTTTTTGTGTACAAGTTACATGTAGTTTCAATTTATGCTGCCAATTTTGACTTCCATTAATCCTGGCTAAACCGACCGAGAAGATACACGTTTTTCTAGCAAGATAAAGATAAAAGGATAGTGTCTATACCTACCTGTAACTACCCTCAGAATATTGAATGACGTGCCCTTTAGAACTTTAATTGGCTTTCAAATTTACACCACATTGTCATTAGGGTCAGGTTAATTTCGTGCTACACAGGAAACTAAGAGTATTAATAAATAATTTGGCGGTAGAGATGAGCTGCGTGGAAGAAATAGTCTTATTAAGTCAAGAGTCGCTACCATTCCATTGGGACTGTAAAGGCAAAGACACTTTATTGTTTGTTTGTCGATGCACAAACGCTAAATATGAGCTACATATGGGCGATTTTAAAATCTTTCAGAAATGGTGGGCCTACGGGACGGTAAGATATGTTGAGGCGACGTGGATAAAGAATTGATTTTGTGCTGGTGTCATCTTCTTGTTCGTATTCTTAGCCTTGCTTATACCTGTATATATATATATATATATACGTATAAACCCTGTACAAGAGAATAGCTTTAAATATTTTGCAGATAAAGATTTACAAAACACGTTTTGCAGCTTAATTCTGATTGTCATTTTTTTTTGCCTTGTTTTTATACACGGACCTTGCACTTGAACATGCCTCTTTTAAAATATTTTGCAGATGATAAAGATGATGATCACTGTAGTATCCTTGTATGCTATATGCTGGCTGCCGCTTCACGCCATCACTCTTGCGAGCGACCTTCACCCAGACATATTTTACTACGAACATTACAGCAAGATCTGGATTGCGAGCCACTGGTTGGCAATGAGCAATTCGTGTGTCAATCCAATTGTTTACTGTTGGATGAACACCAAATTTAAAAACGGATACAAATACGCTCTACGGATGTGTCTTTGTCTGAAAGCGGATACTCACATCGTAGAGGAGAGGTCGAGGATTATGTTACATGCAGGTGCTCACCAACCCTACTATCGCGGAAGAACCAGTTCTAATTTGTCTACATGTAGGGGCGCAGCCACCTCAACGTGTAATATCAGTCCACCGAGAAACAATACTGCGTCTTTTTCACATGTATCGAACCGTCATCCTCACAAGTGTTCGTTAAAGGTTTACTTAACCAGGAGTCCCAGTGCTGAGAGACATACTGGAAGACCATGGAATAACGCCAGTGCACACTGAGAAAAAAGGCATTCGACGACAACACTCGTTCAGTTTGAACTGGCGCAGGTTTAAATAGGCGTCGTGACGAACATTACATTTCGGTGTCAAAATGGAATAATTCTAAGAGAACATTTTATTTGAATTCAATGAACTGACAAGATCTCTAAAAATTGGTAGTAATTATAATGTGTTAAATCTATTATCAAAACTTGGTGTGTAAAGCAGTACAGGGTAAAAGGTTGGATATGTTTCATCAGTAATTTCAGTATTTGCGTATCTGTCCCCATTTTGAACTTGGAAGTAAATCGCTTTTAATGTAGTCTGCCAATCTGTTAAGTGGTTCTAATCTGGATTCTCAAACAAATGGGAATAACGAAGTATTTTTGAAAGATTTTAGATTAGATTTGAAAAATATTTTCATTAAAATGAAAAATGACCGTATTTTAAATAAATGTTCTGTCTCTGTATAACTAGACTAATTTTTTCAAGAAAGACAATTTTGTTACTACTCGCCTTTAGTATGATATAATATATGTGTTTCATGTATTGAAATGGACCACATGTCCCGTTTGTCGTCTGGAATGAATCAGGTTAATAAATTGTTCAATGTGGTCAGTGTAAAAAAGACCGTCAGTGATAAATAACAACATCCACTACCTGCTGGATTGAACGCTTTTGTCCTGCACATGCAGCGTCTGTGTGGTATATCATTATTTTCGATATGTATGGTAGCCAAAGAGATACCCCAGTGTCATCTTCATCAAAACTGAAAAGTATTCTTCATAATATATAGCGGCATTTAGACTCAATCTGGTTGCTGCAGCATACACTTAAAATTGACCAGGAAAAGATGACCAGGTGACCAACGAGACGCTCTGGCTTTCAGGTTGTGAACAATATAGAATTGTGTCAAGGTGGTTGACAAGTGGCGAGGCTCATCAGGAGTTGATAAATAATATTATTTGGGGGGACATTGCTTGTTTGCATTTAACTGAAGAAAAATTATTGCTTGTCTTCACATAAGTTCAAAAAGAAGTGGTTAATGTACAGTGGGGGGCAAAAGTATTGCACCATTTTTCTTAAAAGTGAATAACAGATGGATTTATAAGGTTTTTTGTTTGGTATTTTATTGAAAAGTGGTTATGTTAGTATTTTAAGTGCAGGCTAACGGACCAGTTTTTCCCTCTCACAAAACGCATGATATTGTGTGAGCATTAACCTTTTGTGGGATACCCTCCATCCTGCTAGGCATAAACTGCGAAAGGTTGGTAGCCACTTGAGAGCCAGAAGAGCGACAAACCTTCGATGACACCATTTATAGTGTTCGCTGATGAAAATTCATCAAATAACCGCGGTCACTTTTTACGAACAGGTCTCCCATGCCACAAAGCACACTATTCACACAGATTGTGCAATACTTTTGCCACCCCACGTTAAGACGTGTGTTAAAATCTTACTCTTTGTCTCTTTAGGGAAACCTCGTCTCTTTGTTGATGCTAAAACAAATATTTTACATCAAAGTACATTAAAGAAATGTATTTTTGAATGTACTAATAATTAACCATTTGGTAAGATTTAACCAACCGTATTACGATAGTTAATGTTCGTTTTAGATATAATGAATATATGAATTATCTTTACACAGAACACGCAAACAATTTTTCTTTGAAGAGATCGGGAGCCCACGTTTTAAACAGCTTTATCTTTTCCTTTTCAAAGATGTAATGATGGAGTTTTTACGCACACAATTTGATTTCCTTCGCATTTGTACTGCTGGTCAGTTGGAACAAACACACTCTACTTATTATTGAATATTGGGACTTCAAAGTGCACCAGAACAATATTGAAGGAAAGTGGTTATTGAAATTGGAAGAAATTGATTTTTTCTCTGGAGGAATGTTTGTTTTATCTTTAAATACAATTTCCTCTTTTCTCGTGATAAATAACCCAACATGCGTCGACAACCTGCCCCACATTTGTCGCATCGTATTCTACGATATACAAACTGAATTTGCTATGTTGGTATATCTTTGTCGGGGTGAGTATAAGTAAAAGGTACATGGTCAATTAACCGTCCCATTGTTGATGTTGTAGTCAGAAATTCTTGTTCTTATAGGTCTTTGATAATGGTCCTTTAAGTTCAGGGTCAGGAGCTCTGTTAAACTGTAGCTACCCTTCAGTCTTCTGACACGATCAAAGATCCATTATTTCAAACTTGATGACGTTCTGGGGTTCTTTGACTTCTACTTTCAGTCCACGAGGAAAAATATTAAAACGACATAAAACTGAGAGGAGGAAGAAATGTAATCCAACACGCGAGCGTGGAGAAAACATTGTAGGAAGTCTTATCAAACAGAAAGTGTCCTTTAACACAAACGTTTCACAATACCCTGAAACAATTATGTTCATCATGTTTTTTTAATAATATTTTAAATACAGTACCAGAGATATAGCATTTCCGGAATTAGACAATATTTTTCGTAATACATGTGTTGCACTACATGTATGCATAAAACTTACATTCTCGCTAAAAATGATGGAAATTTCAAACATAATTTTGTATCTGGACTTCAGTGAAGTCAAACTACGGCAAAATGTTTTATATAATCAGCTCATTAGTGTTTTAGTGTAATTTCTTGTTATACTCTTAAGTAACAATGTATTTGGATTTTTTTCTTTTGGATCCCTTCTGGATATAGATTATCACTTAAAAAGGGATACAAGTACGCTCTTAAATTATCGGCAATTTTTTAAGAGAAAAGCAAATAGGCCCCCTATCATGTTCAAGGAAACATGGCTTAGTGGAGAACAACAGAGTCATCCCAAAGACCATGCTGTGCCGTTAAGAATTTAATCACAGAGTAAGAATCTCGCGTAGCTTTCACAAACCCGGATGACGTCCTCTATAATTCGAGGTGGTAACTCAACCAGTTCCTGTACTTTGTTGATGACCAAGTCTTTCCTCTCTCGGGTTATAAGACAAGACATTGGCACACTTCAAATGTGCTGTTCAAAATTGGCTTGCTACCGCAAATAGCAGTGATTGCGTCATAAGTGTACACGTGGCCGTCCGCCAAGATCTGTTGTACAGTTCGCTGATCATTATGTGTACTTGGGCTTTCTTTGTGCGACTTTGTGTAAGTCAGACACGAACCGTGGAAGTTTTGGGTTGCCTATTGCGCTAAGAAACTTGAAGACGTAAAGTTTTATTTTTGGCCAAAACCTTGAATTAAGCTAATTAAATTTTCCTTGAAAAGAGTTTGGTCAATGCTACAGCCAGCTGTGGAAGGGTTTTGTGACAAGTATCACAGTGAGCTATAAAGTAATAATTTATGTCTTTTATTTCCAAAACATTCCATCATTTTTAGCAAGAGTGTATATTATATACCCACGTACACAGATCCCTTTTTGTACTAAAATATGTATGTTGTGAAACAAATAAGGATATGAACAATTGCTTAGGTTAGAGAATTTAAATATTGGTAAATTGGTGGTAAATTGGCTGCTAAGCAATGGGACAGCCAATCGTAACTAAATTCGAGGGCTGTGTCAGGACAAAATGCCACTAGAATAATGGAAAAATAACCAATATATGAATTAGCTTAGGGAATTTGAGTTACAATGGCAAATCAACAAACACATGCAACTGATATTAAGTCAAGATATTGCGTTATTCCTGTGATGCAAAACGTACATACATGTACCGGTATATCCTCTCAATGGTGATTTTGAGCAGAGATAGGCCATCAAGTTGCATGCATCATGGGTAAGATAAAATGAGGACATGTTAGCGGTGGAAGTACCAGTAGACCATTATAGTCTAGATGAGGAGGTACAATGTATCTAATGTCAGGTTAAATATACGAGTTTTATACATATTAATGTAGGTCAATTGTGTCTACTTTGGATATTCAGACACCCCTCCCCTTTTATCACCACCGCCACATTCCCGAAGCCAATGTCTGTGTAGAGCCATTATATTGTTCACATTTTACACTTAAGCATCGATTGTAGATGTGCAATTTGAAGGTTCTCACCCAAAAATGTGCCCTTTGAAATAACAGCGAAGCGTTCTGTTGCTTTAAAGAATTGTTCACATGGTAAGACATTCGTCGACCATCTTGTGTTGACCCACGGCGTCTTTTTCGTCAATCAGATTCTTCCAGTGTATATATATATGGCACAATAGGGCCTCGTCTGTAGGAACTTTCATTGTGGCGCCGTCATGATAATAACGGCGTCTGAGACTGCTGGACATATTGTGTAGGCAGCATGGTAAGAAAATATGCTGGATGAAGGCGGTGACTTGGGAGAAGCAGTGATTCTCGTAATACCTCGCAATCACGAGGTTATGCTTTTTGGTAGGCCTAAGTTTTTTCTTTGCTTACAACACCATTATCGGTTTGCCATTTATGAATTGAAATGAATGAAATTTTTGACAAAATTCTACACCGTACAAAGTTACAATAAACAGCAATTAAATCCTTTTATTACTTCCATGGCAAGTGGGAACATAATCGAGATGAAAAAAGAAGTAAAAGAAAAAGCATACTGGCGGTTGGCAATATTTTATACGATGAAAAAGTACACGTAAATAATATGCTTTAGTATAAAAGATTTGTACAGTTGAAAACGAACTACACCAATAAGTAAATAGAGAAAGTTGGATTGCAAAAAATAGATTAACAAAAACCAGTTTTAAGTCTTATTTTTAGCAAAAAAAAAAAAAAAAAAAAGAAAAAAAAAATTATCGCATTTTAAAATAATAATAATAAAATACGAGGATCATGTTCCTAGCGTTCCTAAAATGTAAGTATTGTAATGAAAATTAATGAATTGCGGACAGCCAAGGTGTGAACATGAAAACGTGCATGAACACTAACTGAATTTTCCACATACATGCACATCCCAACCAAAGAAATTGATAAAATAACGAAACAGAAGATATCGTCCAGTCGAAGATTGGTTTGGTAAATAGATTTGATAGAACCATCATTTTTCATTACTCGGTCAATTTAACCAGCCAGCATCAAAAGTTAATTGATGTTTAATGTGTAGTTGTGCGCCAACCTGTGCAAAAGGCGATCACCCTGTCCCAGGGTCTTAAATATGAGAAATAAGAACAAGGTGTAATCGTGTCATCATTTATTGCGCAAATCAATACACATTTGCAAATAAGTAATTATTTTGAGTGCAAACTCTGCAGACAATGACACAGTATATGGTTGATGAATTCACATCTTTTATGAAGTATCACGAAATGCATCAGCTGTGCATGTTGAATGCTTTCTTTGAGTCGACGCTTAAAACACACATTGATAATGAAACGCCGTACCCTTCCGATCAACTGACAATGAGCATGATGGGTGATCCTAAGCTTCCGTATAAACATGCAAACCTAATCATACTGTCCTCACATGATATTTTCAAGACGTGTTTATATCTCAGTTAATGAATAGAGAGAATATAAGGAGATGACACTAACTGTATTACTTGAAGTCAGTCTTCATAAATTATTGCTCAGAGATTGTCATACCCTAGGCGTTTTCTAAACTCAACATGTAACTTTGTTCTGGTATTTGGGATTGTTTTGGCTACACAGCTTGGCCCATATGGTTCACTGACCATCTTACGTGGGACAAAGGTGAACACACGGCAGTGGATGGTGGGGCCAGAGTAAAGAAATACAAGAGTATAGGGCCTATCCAAATAGATGTTTCCTGGTATGGATATAAGAGTGTGTTCTGTCCGCAATATTGAGAAGAAGTTGGAGGAGCAGAGACCGCACCTTAACCAAGACAAAGATGTGGGCATGAGAGACACCCTCCAAAGTCGCTAGATACCATTCGCTCAAGAACATGCAACCTCTCACATTCCAAGCCTGGTAAGGGTCCATCTACTGAAGCCAAATTTTACCTATGGAACAACCACATAAAACTCCATATAAGAAATCCACAGAGTGTCTTGGTGTGAGAATGTGAGGGTCGACAGGCAAAGGCTTGATAGACCAAATGGTACCTTTTCCTGATTTGATTTGATTTTATCTTCATTTCCAAAGATACAGTCAACAGTAGACTATAGGGAGTATTCTGCTCTAACACGTAACTGAAATGCTCAGAGACAGCCTCCGAAACCACTTGACACCATTCGCTCAACATCTGTTCCAGAACAATTTCCTCCTGCAGCTCGACAATGCAACCACTCACATTCCAAGCCTGGTGAGGGATTTCATCTACTAAAATCAATTTCTGTTCATGAAACAACCACCACCAAAGCTCCATAGAGCATCTTCGTCTCACTCCATGTCACACCTAACACATTCACTCAGTGCCATTTTCTTTTACTCAATTTCAGATCAATATCATCATTTATTTTCAGTTTAACTATGTTGTCCAATTCAATAAACATCGCCTAAACTTTTCCAATAACTACCCAAAGAGATCGCACTCACTGGCAATCATTGACTGATGCTGATAAATGATAGCAACTTTCGATGTGATAATGCAATAAATGCCAATTTTGGATTCCGTCCACATCGGAAGACGTTGTGTTGAGTGCACGTCTGGCAGAGATTATCAGTTAGAGGTATTACCATTTAACCATGCCGGGATATGATCCTCCAGAGGCAGTAAAGAATTTTCCTCCTCAACACTGAACTTTGTGTGGCGAAGAATTGGAATGGAATTTCTTTTGCGCGTAAACTGAGGTAAACTGAGAAAACGGTTCATTAAAAAGAGATAACTTAGCAGTTATGGTACAAAACGGAAGAAGCATCTAAATTCAAAACTACTTGTCAAATATCCATTATTGGAACATGCACCCTCTTTTAAGTTTAAATGGTGAATGAACAAGCTCTATTTCAGTGATTATATACATACATGTAGTACGTTTCAAAAATAAATTGCGCATTCCTTATAAGCCTAATTGATTTTACAACTGATGTTCAGTAAATTAAATAAAGGTCGATTTTCCATCACAAGAGTGTAATAGTCGAGTCTCCTATGGGCACTGAATGAAATGAACCACTGAGGTTGCATTAATTCCATATCCTACATGTATAACAGTTCACCCATTAACGTTTGTCTTCCACAGTTCAGAATATATCTTTAGACTAGAGTGTATAATACAACGCACAAAGATTCGTATATTAGAAAACTATAATTCTCATTGAAAGTGAAAGGAAGACAACCGACTTCAAACAGCTAAACCGCTTAAAACGCCATGTGCACTCGTTGCTTGTAAACACTGCGAGTGGTGCAGTTACCCCTCCCCTCCCTTTTTAGTCTTAGCTTGATCACTTCTCAGTAAAGTAGGGTCGCATTATCTCCGAGAATCTTCAACACACTCGTGATCTACACAAGAAGAAAATGACTCTTCTTGTTGGTGTGAACTTGTATCTTCCTTACTCTGAACGATATCCGTATCATTTACCACATCTTCCCTACAAGCAACTTTATTGAACTCAATTTCCTTGGGAGAGGTTTTACGGCCAGTCTCTCGAAAATACCTTATTCTATAATTACTAAATCTGCCATTTTCATTTCTGGATGAATTTGACTTTACACTTACTGTTCTTAAACTGGTTCGAAATGTGCTTGTAAATTTGACTGCTGGGGTGGGAATGGCTTTGTTTCTGATACAGGGTAGCCAACGGAACGCATAAAGGAAACCTCTTTGGTATTTCGGGTTCATCCAGCAATATATAATGGGGTTAACGCAGGAGTTGCTCATAGCTAACCAATGACATATTATCCAGATAACAAATATGTAGTAGCCATGAAGTTCTGGATGAAGATCCAATGCTATGGTCACGGAGTGAATTGGCAACCAGCAAAATGTGTAGACGCCAACTACAGTTATCATAGTTTTCACCATCTGGAAGATAAAAAAAGTATTCACTCTATTTAAGGTTTATTAGCACAGAATAAACGAAAATGCACAGTTATGGTGAATATTTTACAGATGATAATCATAAAATACCTTTAACAGGCAAAGATGGGATTGCACAGTCAGTGAATATTGACACGAGCCCGTCAGGGGAGTGCTCCCGGTTGCTTTTTAATGGCTACTTTAACACTCGTATGCTTATAGATTTCCCAGGGATGAGTGGTAATTTATAAGCTGTAAGATTCTTTTCAAACTTGACTTAATAATGTTGTTTTTGATTCAGAGTACATGATTTACAGGATATCTTCCTGGTTTATAGCTTGCAAAAAAGATGAAGACAAGACTCACATATACACATAGTACGTTATAAACCTTTTGTAGATAATTTTAAAGATACAAATTCAGTAGAATCTATTTAAGTTAGACGGTTATAGACTGTATACTGTTAAGTGAGCTTTCACTTCAGTAATATGAGTTGCCTATTTGACAGACATGGATATATGAATATTTAATTGGGGTTTGTCTATCTAATCCAGGGAATTGGTTCATGCATTTGGGTCACTTGCATTAAAAGCTTGTTCTTAAATAAATTCATGGGTTTACACACATTAAATTTTGCGACGTAGTGGAAAACTGACGGCTCTTGGTGGAAAATTGATGATGTTCTATGTTCTATTGAAAATCTCAGTCATTTCGTATCTATAACTATACAGGCCTCCTAGCATTTCGGTAAAAACTGCAGAAATAAAGGGTGGCAGCTATGGGTTGAGCAGTGTAAAACAATAACTTTTGATTATCTCCGGACATCGTTCAACAGATTGTACACTTTTAGTTTTAGCATTCCCTTGTGTTAAACGCACATATGCATTAAACAACTTTTAAATTACCCACGGGTAATTAAATCTTCCTTAAAACGCCTTTTCTCTGAATCGAATTTTTTCTGTCCACATTTTCTTAAATCTGGTTTTACTTAACTAGCACTCTGATTTTGCTGAATATTCCACCTTTAAAATTGGCTTGAAAATGTGACCGGATTTGTTATTAAATGCAATGGTTTTCTGGCTAATCATCAATGCGTGTCGTTGCATCTTCACACTTTTTAAACTAAAAATGTTTATCAACTGCCTACTGACGCTTATCAGAACAACGGTCAGTCTCTTATGCTTCACCCATCCAATGAGTTAGATATTTCAGGTGATATTTTATATCTATATGAATGATTGTATTAATGGTTCTGTGCAGGATATAAATGGTCCGTAACCTTTGTATACTATAAACATCACAGAGATGATAGAGAGAGAGAGCATTGTGTCAGTTTTTTATTAATTAATTAATTAATTAATTTATTTATTTATTTATTTATTTTTTGAAAATAACACTTAATTACTTTTTCCAATTGTCCAAACTTGGCTTGCATTCTACAGTATTTGACGTCCTGTATATTTCAAATAGAGATATATGCAAAATACTACAAAAATAGTTAGAGATTACCCATGAAAGCATATTATGTAAATTTTTGTGTCTTTCTTAGCAACCAATGTGAAATGGAATTGGATCACTTTGAACTTACAGATTAGGTTTACAGATTACGTCGCGACAGAAGGAAACTACAAGATACACATGTAACATGTTTAACTATGACATTACAAATAATTTGAGGTATTTTAAAATTTTGAGGTATACCTAAAATGTCTGGGGTTCTTTAAAGAAAGTTTATAATAAAAAAAATTAAAAAATAATTATTATTATATTTACTATTATCTTATCATTAATTTATTTTCATTGTTATACTAAAAGCTCAACAGCAAAATCTGCTACAAAAGTATTAGTCAAAACAGCATAGAGAATTCAGTGTTGGAAATGAGCATAGCAATTTTCAGCGAAACAGATATTGTCTGCTGCTAATGAAATCAATTTTAAAAAACGCGAAAAATTATAAAGAACAAATGTTAACCACAATTATTTTGCTGTACTTATCTAAATATTTAAAAACATCCAGATAAATGGGAAGCACATGGAAAGGGGCAATGAAAAATGACCGTTTGGATTCTAAACAATTACTTTTTAAATGAGAAAAGAATGTTACATTTACAAATGTGTAGATTGTGGTTTGTGTTACCTTTCTTTTTGAGGCAGCTAATCTTTGATCTCGTTTGTTCTCCGCTTCACCCGGTGGCCTTTTCACCCAAATGGCAATGGCTATCCTAGCATATGTGATCACGAGAGCCAGCAAAGGGAGAAAGTACTGCAGGACCATAATGGCAACCGAATAGTGAAATCTCTGTTGGTCAGTCTTCCACATTTCCCGACAACTAAGATACTCGTCAACTTTCGATAGAATCGCGGTGGGCAAGGGGGTGATGAAGGCCAGTGCCCATACCACTGCAATGGCAAACATTGCTGCCCGTTTGGTTGGTTTCGGTCGAAGTGGATAAAGAATGGCCACATATCTGTCTAGACTTATGGCAACCAACGTGAATGCACTCAGGAATACTGCCACGGTTTGGATGTAGGTTACAAATCGGCAAAGGTCATCCCCAAATGGCCAGCTTTGTAGGAGCACGCTAGCGACAAACGTCATTGGTATACACAACAATGCCATAATAATATCACTGATTGCCAAGTTTACAATGAAATAATTTGTTACAGTTCGCATTCTCTTGTTACTTACAACTATATAACAAACGGTGAGGTTACCCCCAACTCCAAACAGTGTAATGAGTCCATAAAGAATGATTAAAAGAGCTTGTATTCCGGGTTGGAGCCGAGGGTTTTCTACGAACGCAAATCCACTTTCATTTCTCGAGAAGTTCTGTGAATACCCATGTATGTGGACGGCCATCTTGTCTGCCACTGAAGTTGATCTGATTCAATCGCACGAGAGATAAATTGCTTTTTTCACATTTGTATTGACTTTACTTTACATCACTTTAAAAAAGGATATCATTTTGCTTCAATCTTATCATTTGCCCTCCTGTTGGATAAAGAATTTGGCATAAATTTGTGGAAAGCGAAGAAAGTGGCCTTTCTCAATGTCAAGAGTTCTCTCCAATTCATAATAGCACATTTAATATAACGCCAAGGTGTCGTTCACGTAAGTTAGTTCTGTGACCTCTATATGTGAAGTATTCCTGGATTCCTGGAACACAAGCAATTTGAGAAAAGACACACAAATAGAAAACCGAAAAATGGTGGAAAATAAAAACAAAGCAAACTAAAAATGAAAATTTATAAAAATAAAAGTTTTGAAATGTTATTTTCGTTAACTACAATATGCAAAAAGACATATTCCCCGAGAATCTGTTTCTACATTTTCAAATTTTTAAGAATAGTTTGTGGACACAATTACTCAGTTGTCGAATATTGCAGTTAAGCATATCATTGTCACTGTTAATAACTATACCTTAATTCCGAAAAGGTTCGAGGTAATATCAGTAGGTATAGTGCTCCAATACCTAAATAAAAGTGTTTTGTCGACCGATGATCTGAATTCTCTAGAAACAACCTGCGCTCACATCACAGACGGTCATCTTTTCACCAATTCAAGACACGTAAAGAGGTTCGGGCATTAAAACTGATTTGGGACACGTCGGCTGTGGGTTTATTGGTTGACGCGTTTAATCAAATCTCTGCGAGACATTGAAGGGCGTTGACTTTAGAAAAGTCAAAACTGATGTTCAGATTAAACAGCAGAATTACATTTACAGCCAATCGAATGTCAAATAATCCTGTGACGTTTGCGGAAGCATGCAGCCGTACATGGCATTTGATTGAGACGTGTTTGATTACAAGAAGTGGCATTCAGTATGTCATGAGACCCAACATCCAAAATGATTCCACGGACTTAGAATGCAATTCCAATATAATCTAAGATTATGAATTTTAGCCGTATCTCATTCCGCTAGGAGTTTAACGCATCACTGTTAACCCAAAATCGTAAAAGGGCACACGATCAACTGATCTTCTTGACTCAATCGTAAGCCTGTAATATGTGAAATCGATTACACGGAAACACATAGACATTAATCAACGGAACGGTAATGAGACCAGTCCCAATTTATACTGTAAAAAAAGGAGATGGGAAAAATAAGTTAAACCCAAATAACAAGGGAATGACAAAATAAGTTAACCACAAATGGATATATTTTAGGCATACGAAGCTAAGAAATACCAACGTAAGAAAAAGCGAATTTCGGGAAACTATGTCGTAAATAAGTACATGTAGGTAAAGTAATATGGAAGTTGTCACCGCAAAGTATGCCTCGCCATATTAGCATTGTTTCCTAATTTTATCCTTATCCCCCCCCCCCCCCCCCACACACACACACAAACACACTAAGAAAAAAGAAAAAAGCTGTGCTTCACCTTTTAGTTTTCTTTAAAACCGCAACAGGTCTTCTCTGTTTTGACGTACATTATCCTAAAACAAGTAAGACTGACACATCAATTATCAGGGCTTCCAGACAATCAATACATCTGTATATAGGCACTATGCAGTAGATCTCAGGACTGACATTACTTCGGTAACAAATTAGTTGTCTGTCGTACTACCAGGATCACTTAAATCCAATACAGCCCAAGTTCTTCCTCCGTTGACAGTAGAGTGGTGCACGCGAATTGAAATTGAAAACTACATTTGCTGCAACAGCACATTTTTAGATAAAATCGTTTTTAACCAATTTCAAGAAGCTGACATTTATTTGTTTTTGCATTCCCATAGATAATCAAAGAAAAACATAGATTCTCAAGCAAAACAAAGAAGCTTTGAATATTGCAATTAAACGACCAACGCCTGGGGGCTCCTCTTAGATGTAAAACAAGGTGCTGTATGCCTCCTTATTCATTCCTCTTGAATGGATTTCCATGCAAGAAAAGCTTCCACTTCAACAGCACAGCGCATGGTTTCAAGCAATGGTTGAGGATGTTGATGTTGATGATTTATATAGGAAAATATGGGGAATCTGAATGGTCATGATATCATGAATAAAACAGATTTATTGCGTGTACCCCCTCCACACACACACACACACACACACACACACACACACACACACAATCACATTCCCATCGTACTGATTATAGTGCTTAACTGATATGGTAAACGTGAACGCAGCAGCTCTAGGTTTTATGATAAATAACGTGCGTCTCTTGCAATACATTACCTAATGGACCAAGACGTTAACGAAGTTGAAAGTGAAAAATGAAACATCGTGTCACATAAAGATTTTAAAGGCAATTTTTTAAGACATTCAACAATGGCTCCAAGTGATAGTTTTGATTAATGGAAGACCTTCAGTAGCTCATTTGTATACCCCCAAAGACTTAATTCTTTTGTATATCAACTAGCTACAAAGACCATCTCTGTCTCATGTGCGTGTTACATTCATTCTGTATTCATAACATACATACATTTGATCTCTGAGGAGAAGAGAATCATAAGGTCGCCACATACTAGTAGGTAAACTTACGTAAATTAACCATTACATTTACATGTTAACAAGTTTTCTTGATCAATAAGATCATAATCAAAGCGGTCCAAGCAAGCATTTTTAGTGGCTTCCCAAGGGCAGAAATATCCACATGCTGTGTTTATTTCAGCAAAAATAACATTTCTAAATGTTTTTTTACATGTAAAACACGATGTTTCAAGCTGCCAAAGTGAAGAGTGGCGCTGAGATGATTCCGTTGGCAATAAAATCCGCTACTGTACGTTTCCCTGCATAAAAGTAATTCAGCATGTCCTGTCTCTCTGTCCCAGTGGGGGCTTCACAGATACAGATAATAATAATAATAATAATAATAATAATAATAATAATAATAAAAGAAAGAAAACTGGAAAAGAATGAGGCCAAAACATAGTTAAAATCTTCTTCGCAATTACTTTATTCCTCCGTTTCAGAAACCTACCGTAAGCAAGTTTATGATGAACATTTCATAATCATCATCATCATCATGCGCCAGGCCTGGTGCAGGCATCGACAATCATTAGCTCGTAATTGTACAGTTGTTGATTTGTTGCGAAGGCATTAAGGCTATCAGTGTACGATGTTCTTTGTCTACCTCTACTTTGTCTTCCTTCGATTTTCCATGCATTCAGTTTTTTATTATTATTATTTTTTTGTATTCAGTTCCAGTTCCCATTTTTCGCTTTCCATTGATAGTGTATTGAGGATCCTTTGGAGTTGTTTCTCAGAGTCTGCAATGAGCACTGTATCATCTGCATACCTTAGATTGTTCTTGGCCTCCTTTTCACCAAAATGGTTAGCCAGCGGCTGCAGCAGATAACTACTCTACAGTTAGACTACAGCACCATGAAACCCTGTGCACTAACACCACACCACCATTTCATAATATGTAAGATTATTAAAGTTTTCAATAAAAGAATCTTGGTTCCTTTAACGAAGAAGCAAATAACACATTTTATAATACCTGCAGTGTATGTGAAATCTTCAGACAATTTTCAACAAAGTTTTGTCAAAAGCTCATTCATAACATCCGAAATTTGAGCAAAAAAGAAACACACACAATAGATTTGATTAAAAGCTAAAGAAAAAAATCTGCGACTGTTTTGCGGCATTTCCGTTTGCGATGTCATTCAATATTGCTGCATCAATTGATCACATCGGAGTTTTATCTGAACATTCGAATGGACACTATTCAGACATTCTTGCTGTCTGTCTGGTCGCAACACTTGTCTGCTGTAGTTAACCTTATGACTGCAGAAACGCCACGATAAACATACAGAATTCCAAGCATTGGAAATGGGCAATGGTTTGTGGAGAATTACGGTGAGCAGAAACAGTCACTCCACATGAGGCAAATAATTAATTCATTTTTTCAGTATAAGGTTACATGTGTACAGAGACCTCATATCGATATTTTGAACTATAATTATATTTACAGGAACACATAACACATACAAACCATGAAGGCGAGCATGTCAAATTAACTTTATCTAAATGTTGGATTGCGAGGCACATTTGCCATCCTATATCCTGAACATGGATAAAAGTGGTAATAAAAGTAAAAAATAAGATTTAAGATCATGCAACATAACCACAAGGATATTTAAGTGATCTTTTTTTTATTTTTGTAAGAGGCTTTAACCATCTCTTGTTTTACGGTCCCTCACTTGTTTATCCCCATCTATATATCAATTTTTTCATTCCAACCCTGCAAAATTTGCCTCTTATAAATATCGTTAAATACATTATTTTTTATTGTACTAAATTCTTTTAAAACTATTGGGAATGAAACTAAATCACTAAATGACAATCAAATCAGTATCAAGAATGACCTACAGAAATGTTCTCATTTTCTCTCTACATTCAACCCATGTGAATACGTTTACAACAAACTTGCTCTCCGATTTTCTTTTCCGAGGTTATGAATCATGTCACCATTTCATCAAATGAACCCTTGTGGGTGCCAATTTCTGTGGGAAACCAAAATCTGTTTTTTTCCCCTTTTTTGATAATGAGGTATGACTAGCCCTATCATCAAGTAACGCCAATCAATTATTCGCTTGCAATCAGTGTCACTTCTTCAAAGCAAACGGCGGGATATTAATCATGTAAGCAATATTAAAAGCGAAGATGGAATGGCGAAGCAACAAAAAGGCTCTCAAGGGGGTCAGATTTTAAAGGGATTGCTTTGATATGTACTCGAAAATTTTAAGATTTTCACTGAGCAATTCACAGGATTTTCCGAGAGGAACAATACAATCATTTATTACCTGCGAGTTTTGAAAGGCTTGAATAGAGACCATTCACGCCATGCGCATGTAGTTTGATAAAACAAGCGAGCAGCACTTTCAACTTGATCATAGATGTAAACTCAAAAAATTATCGTGTAAAATGCTTGAATTCATATTTATGCACACCAAGGAATAGACCGCGTGGAATTTTTTTAATTACGTGAAAAACGTTAATGATCAGCTAATCGTAGTATCTGTAGTGTTTTAATTGCTTTGGTGTTACTGCCTGAGTACATGTTATTATGGTCATATGAGAGAACTAATCATTTGCTAATGTGAGACCACCATTAGGGCGTGTGTGGCGTTCACGATTTGGTCAGCCTGTGGAAGGCTAAAAACTTTTATGTATTCACGTACTCCAGTTTTTACGTATCCAAAGTGTTCAGTATTCATATCATTGTTGACATTATTTCACAGTTAACAGTAGAATTCAGCAGCATTCAAAGTATTTTACAGGATTAATGATATTGACGACATTTACAGACACAGCGATTATTTTCGTATTTACGGTATACACGCTATGAGGGTGCATTTTTTTATTTTACGTTACGGCATTTAAGTTTGTTTTTTTACTTATGATAAAAAAGGTTGTCACACATTAACTGTGGCATTGTCACAGATCCCTCATTCCATTTGAGACAGGTGACTTTAAGGACACGCACAAGCTTCAGCATAACGTCTCTGATCACAGTTCTCCCTCATAACCCCTATGTATTTCTTTCAGGCCATCATCTTTTCCCATTTCTCAACAATTATCCCACACATTGACTTACATCTCAAAAACACTGCATTAATTATCTTTATATGAATATTTATTAGCTGAGCTTAGGCCCAGATATTAACGCTAACATAACAATGTACATCCAATGCACTTTCACTTCATAAAAAAATTCAAAATTGAGTAGAATTAGTACTGTCTTTGCTTGAATGCTGGTTAATAAGCCCTTGAGACATCAGTAAAGTATGTTGGAATAATTGGATAGAGCTGAAAAAAAAAACGGAATGAACTATGATTGTACATACATGTTTAATCAATAAACATGGTATGTTTTTCAAACATCATTCGTCAGAATAATCTTGCTGTTGTTTAATTTCCCAAATGTTGTTTTTGCAGTATTGATAACGGTGACCGACGGAAGGATGTTTTCTTGTCAGAAATATTTACGCATACAGTGTGAAGAAATCCCTTTAACCCAACGAGTGTTTAAGAACTGACGGTGACACTATCTTCACAGCAACAGACGCTTGTCATACAAGTAATATCCCGAGTAAAAGGCGATGTAGCGAAGCCATCGGCTTCTGCCTTCACTTGGGTCTCCTCCACTTGGCGTATATACATTGCTCAAGGCATGTCGCTGAACTACTAGATATTGTAAAAAAAATCATCACGATGTAACGCTTGTCTAATGTACTATAAGTTCAAACAATGGTCAAACGACCCCCACAAATTTGTCATCCTCCCCTTAACTCGAGACTGAGCATTAACACATTTTTCCCACAATACAAATATGTTCAAAATACTGTAAGTAATTTCACATGTCACTGAACGGTTCGTTTGACGGTAATATAGATTGATTTCTACTGAAATACCAATGCTGTTGGCTTCACTGATATGTTAATGTAAATACGAACTTAACGCGCTGTTGCTCTGCCATATTTCCCATCGGGAGATAAAACCTGAAAAATATTTGAAATCACAGAATTTGCCGCAAAGAAACATGTGCAAAAAGACCATTTAAACCATTTCTTATATACTTGATTTTTACACCACCACGTGTTTTTTCTCTAACGCAATACCTTGTTATAGTAAGAAATATGCACTGTTGTTAAACTGTATGGTTTTGCAGTGCTTTCTTTATTCCTTTTTCTTAGAGAATAATTAATAAACGAATGTCTGAGAGACGATGGTTGTACTAGCAAGCGACTGTCATAACTAACAGTATTACCTTATCGCCATAAAAAAGTAACTTGCTCTCTAAAACTGCGGACAAGGCTTCACTTAATTAGTTGAAGCTATGTCGAATACGTATGTTGTTTTCAATGGCCTGTACTGTTCTGTCATCGCTATAGAAGTTCAAGGCAGTACCAATAACCATAACCTTCTGATTCATCGCAGATGGCAAATCATGTATCAAATGTCAGTCTGCCTTGATGCAGACAGCAACGTTGTCAGTTGCAAGACAGTCCGCATCGGAATCAGAAGCTAAGGGACTGATTATTACAAATTGTGTAGCAAATAACATAGATTTACTCAAATTTGTCACCATATCCACGCGCGTGTATTGCTTTTCAAAGCCACGACAGCTTCAGTTAACAAGCAAAAGGAGCAGCTTTAGTTTTCAAAATCTGGACATTCCTTTCGCAATCGTCGCAGGAGGCTGTCAAAGAATGCCCTTGCATACTCGTCGTTTAAACGGTCCATGACTGCCTTCGATTTCTTGCACATTTCTTCTTCTATTTCAACCAGTGGCTTGCCCGTCCACATTGCCATAACCTGAAAATTAAAAACAGATCAATACTGTATTACTTTTTGGAAGTGACAGTGGGCGCATTTACGCTTACTCGTTATATAAATGCCATAGTGAAATAAATATATTATGATAAAATAGAGCAGCAGACGATTACGTAAATATAATGTGGTCTTTATTAGGACGTCAAGTTAAAACGGATCTTCGGAAACTTGGAAAACATGAAATGATGGCTTTCAATAAAGGGGAAATGGTGATTTGATTGCAAAATTATAGCGAAAAAAGGAATTGTTTTGTGATATTGAGTGAAAGGGAGGCAAAGAGATAAGACATCCCGAGTTTCAAAGTTTACTGACGGTATCTTTCCCCCGCCGGTCCTTGATCTAGCAAATGTCTCCGGGACATGGGGCACACATGCTTAGAATGCATCAAAGTAGATTTTTCAGCAGATTCTGAAACTTTCTATGTGTAAATCGAAACAAAACAGGCAAAAGTTCGAGATCCTCTTTTAAACCCTTCCAAGTAAACCCTGTTAAGTAAACCACGGCGGGTGGTAGGAGTTACCTGTATTTGACAGGCCCTCTCCAAGTAGTACATTGTGTCAAAGGCTCTCGCGACAGTTGGACCTACAACCATGACCCCGTGACTCCTCATGATCATGGCGTCGTTTTTGCCCAGTGCCCTTGCCATGCGGTCTCCCTCGCAGACATCCTCAGCAAGACCTTGGTAGTCCGTGTCATAAGCAATATTATCGTAGAATCGGAGACAATTCTGGTGACACATGCGAAGAGTGGGGTCCTGTAAAACCGCTGAAATGACACAGGAAATACAATTACTATAGTTGGCGACTAGGGGTAAAAGATAATGGTTACAGATAATGGGTGTTCCTATAGTGTTCCTGCAGTGCTAATTGCATGTGTAAGATACAATTCGAAAACAATGCATGTATTTTGGCCTTTTAGATGGAAAACGGTTCATGAATTTTGCTTTCAAATATGTAAATCGATTAGCTGTAAAAACTGCTTTAGATCTAAACCAAGGAACGAAAGTTAAGAATGTGTTTTGAATATCTATACATTACAAAAATGTTTGTTTCATGGATGCTTTTACGTATGGACTAGCTACAGTTTTATGTCAAAGATGTGCACAAAATGTCAAACACTGTTGGGAACACTGCTCGTGGCAGAAAACATTTGTGAAATGCGTGAAAGGTATCAATATCCATCCACTCATCAACTTCAGGTAAGTTCTTTTCGAGCTGGAATTCATACTCTTCAGTACAGCATAAGGCGATAGTATTTATATATCATTTCACTATCGTTGCACAATCTTTATGACCTATATGTACATAAGTAAATCTGATAACCTGTTATTGCATGCGATGTTACCAAAGTCTCTTGTTCAGTGCATTCGATGTGTGAGACGACCCGATATGTCCGACAGACCAGATATGTCCTACGACCAGAGAATGCCGGCTCTGTCCGACAAAAAAGAGCCAGATGTGTCCGACAGGCCAGATATGTCCAACAAAAAAGAGCCAGATGTGTCCGACAGGCCAGATATGTCCGACAAAAAAGAGCCAGATGTGTACGACAGGCCAGATATGTCCGACAACATATCTGGCCTTCTCTGGTCGTAGGACATATCTGGCCTGTCGGACATATCGGGTCGTCACAGATATGTCACGTGCCTGAAAGCACAAATGACATTTTCATACCAGCCACAACAAGATGTAACGTGTCTGAATACAGCAGGACGGATGCATCTTATTTCTTATTTCAATGAACTTACCCAGCGCTGTGGCGTAAGGCATATGAGTGTGCATCACACATGAGATGTCTTTACTTCTAGCGTTGTGAATGCCTCGGTGTATGGAAGCCGCGGATATCTCGGCTGGTCCATCCCCTTCAACCACTTTATTCTTCTCGTTTAGACCCAGCAGTGAAGAAGCTGTCACCTACCAATTGAAGAACGTGAATTTTTCAAAGATTTCAAGAGATAACATTTTATCGAAACATAATTACTTTAATTGATCTAAAAAGAATTGTCAAACATGGTATAAAAAACTGTTTCCTTAATTATTTTTAATAATATGGAAAATAGTGTATCATATAATTAAGTGTGAGATACGAGAATTTTTTGTAACTGATATACCTTGTATGCTTGCTGTAACGATTTTACAGTTTTAAATTCCTGGTTAAAATTACAAGCCTATTGTTTGTATCCATCTGGTGTATTATTAGCAGCTGAACTCTTGACTTTCAATTGGAATGGCCTGTAGGGCTATACATTTCACGTAACAGATGGGTTTGCAGTGACCCATTCAAGGTCGTCCACTTTCCCTGCCTATTATTAAAGGGCGATTAGGTATTGGTTGTCCACTTTTGAGGATGTATAAATGGGAGGCAGGTTCACAGAACACAACAAAACAGTGTATGTGGAGTAAGCGTACTTGAGAGCCAGTAATAGCAGTGTTAGCTGAGGGCCAGTTACCGTTAGCAGTCAGCTATAATTGTATAGGGGCCGTAGCAATAGTCCGAAGCTTCAACAGTCCGAAGGTCCATTGGTCCGAAAGTTCACTATAGAACCTTCGGACCAATGAACCCTTGATTTAAAAAAAAAACGGTGAAAATGTTACCATTTTTCGGACCAATGAACCTTCGGACTATCGAGCCGCCCCCGTTGTATATAGTGTGCAGCGAAGAGTGTATTTTCAGTAGTGGCTCCAGGTAGATGTACAGTAGATGTACTTGCTCTGTATGGCGTTCCAAGCTCTTTAGGAAGAATGTGACAATATCCCCAAAAACAGAATGGTGACGTACCCGTGTTGAAGGCAGGCCGCACCGCCTACAGGAGATAATTACAGTACGCGGTAGACACAAACGCTATTAGACACGTGACCTTTAACGAACACATCCTAATGCTAAATGTGTGCAAATTTGGTGACATTTGGTCGTTGTATTTTCAATTTTATGGACATTTCTTTACCTCTGAGAAAATCACAGTGAAACGTCAGATTTGAGGGGGTACATATAATAAATGTGAATAAATGGTATCAAATATTGATATCTTCGTGCTAGTTTGTATTTTCTGTACCACTAATCATGTTAGTTGTGGTGTCTGGAATGAAAATCGCTATTTATAACAATTTCACCTGTGATGTGATCATTTATAAATAAAAGCAAGTGATACTGGAGGTGGGACAACCTTTTTGACCAATGTTGTATTTAGATAAGGCCCCATACATGTAGTGTTCCCAATATTTCTCCTTTAAAACATGTTTACATAACTTTCACCATTTCAGCTTGATAAAATGACTAATCTGTGATAAATCACGTGGCGTTTAGGGTCATGAAATACTGGGGCAAACTTTTTGCAAACTGAGAAAGTTGTATATTGCGTAACTTTCCACACAGAAGACTGGCCAAAACTGAACTGGGTTTAACTTGTAAAAGTTTAACTACACCGTATTGGACTTGGTTACCACTGGGTGTTTCAAGACAACATAGACTTCGATGTTTTTTCCCTGATCATCGTCATACTGTACATCAATATTTATACAGGACGACTTGGGTCGCAGTGAACTCTCTAGTAAATGTATGCTATTCAAATATTTTGACTTTCTTATTATGCAGTTCAACCTTATTTGTCAAAACCGCTCCAAATTCAAATAAAAGAATAAAGAAGGGCAATAGGCAAGGTAGGAGACCATTTCATTTTTCAGCGCCTGTTCTACAGTGCTCTTAATAGGTAACATATTGAACCCTTTTCTTTTAATCACTCAAGCACGTTCAAACTCGTACGCCTTCTTAACTCCTTACATATGAAAATACTGAACAATTTGGCCAACTTTCTGCTACCCCTCCATAACACTAACTGTAGAATTGTTAGATACATTAGTTACGTATACTTGCTTTAATCAGGACTGAAGCATTCAGATGTCCTGGGTTTCCATTTGTTGTTGTCTTTTATAAGAATAGAGGGCCATGTGTAAGATAAGTGTGTGCATTTAACATGTTTTACCCTCTTTAAATAAAGTTTATTATTATTATTATTATTATTATTATTATTATTATTATTATTATTATTATAGATAAAGAATTAAGCACCTAGACCTTCATAAGCCAATTTTAGTACAAAGCTCGGTGATCAACACCTATTCAGTTCTTAGATTGTAGTCCAATGGAAACCTCAGCCAAGAAAGTTTAAATTCACTGGAAAGAAATATACCCGCTAAAGGGGAAATGTTTTAGAAATGTTTTAGATATTTATTACTTGTGAAGGTCTAAGCATGGATTACTCTTACCTAATGAAAGCCGTATTACCCTGCGTAATTAAGTAGGTGCTTAGACAAGTCCTCTTACTCAATACTGCTACCTTGTAATGTAAGCTAAAGCTGAAAACTGTGCAGGACTTAGGAAAGAGAAAGGGTAAAAATACAGATCTTTACAGCCTCGAGAATATAATACAATACCTCAGACCAGTGAAGTCCATATGGAATAAGCAACAGCAGGGGCGTAACCAGACCTTTAAAAATTGTACGCACAGTTTTTGAAAATTCCCAGGTACGATTATATTCCTTGAAAAATACACTGAATTAATGGAGAATAATATCATGGTTGGCTCAAAAAATTGTACGCACAGTGCATCCGTGCGTATGCCTGGTTACGCCCCTGAACAGTACTTCGCCCTCTCCATTGGCGGCGGGCGCCCTCAAGGTTAGGTGATTACAAACCCCTTCGTTCAAACCTAGCTTGTCAAGGCCACGGTATGCAGCAGCCAGGGCCACTCTTGCCCGCCGGTTCGCGGCCTGTGCGCTGGCTACGTAAGCCGGTGACAGAGTCGTAGAACTTTGAAGACACCTTTTTCCGAAATTCCAACTGACCGGGGAAGTTTTCAGAAGTATCGGGCTCATTTTTTGAAGAAACATGGTCTGCGTTCGCAACGTGAGTTGTCAGTGTTTACCTAGAAAGATCGGTTAAAATATTGAGGCCGGCCGTTACGTGCTATCTACCCAACCCCACGTACACCAAACGGTTGGTATAAATAACTAAATAAACGGATGCGAATGTCGTCTGAGTTTTTTTAACGTTCCCATACTATCAAAGCAAAGTCGTACTTCCATTACATTCGTACATGTAGGGCCTACGTGACATATCATACTGATTTTTTTCATAAATCCACCCTGCGTTCCTACGTATTATCACAACATTCAAAGTTTAGATTGGTAGATTACTCGCATACCACATACGCCATATTTTTTCTATTGCATTTTGTTTGTGACGCATGTAGAAAGACAAAAACAGTTAAATGCCCAACACACTGTAACCTAAAAATTACTCAAATCGGAATGAGAACATTTCACTGTGATTGTTTTTGTCCAGCCGACACATCAATCATTTTAGAAAAGTGCAAAAGATAAAGCACAATTTGGCAAAATGACATTCTACTTTATCACGGCCATAATGTTCCAACAACCATAAACGAGTTCATCGATCGTATGCCGGTAAAAGGTGGCCAAGCTGTTAGTTATTAAAGCATGGCCGAGTTAAATTTCATTAAATGTGTTTCTTAAGGTTAAGTTATATTTAACATTAACTGTCGATAAATATAGGCATTCATAGAATAATATAACACATATATCCTTTATATTTTATGTAACACCTCTGGTTTTATCTGCTTCTAAATGTGCAAAGGCACTGGTGGAATCTGGCTATACAGAAAGGAAAAAAGACCCCCCTCGCTTTTTGCTGAAAGAGAATTAGGTTTTTTAATGACTTTTGCAATTTACCTGATTAGGTTTTCTTTTCTTTGTGTGTGTGTGGGGTGGGGGGGGGGAGGGGGGAGCTGAATCCTACATTTACTCATGTTAAGGGGGCTTAGCGTACTCTCTTGTCAGCATAAATGTGACCTCAATTGTTGGAAGTAGGACCAATAGACCAATGAATGAAGGGACCAAATTGTGGTTGTTCCTGTGTAACCAGTGCCTGGATGTCAACGGGCGTTTTATAGGGGGAATCGGCTAAAAAAAACCTGGGGAATGTATGCAGAACATCAACAGGTGTCGCTCAATCAGTTGGCGCTACATTTATTCATAGTCATATAAGAAATGAAAAAGATAAACAGAGCAAGTAGCAAAGCTGTTAAATGTACAGACATTAAAGCAAATAACGATGCACCAAAAAAGTTTATTGTCCATTTTGATGCAATTTTACAATATGCTTAACAGAAAAAATCAACACAACAGGTACGTACATGTAGCCTACAAAAGTTCAAATACATACCTACCCTGGAAATCTCGAAATGTGAACACGGTTACATTAAAATGCTCAATATATGATTTTCTGTTCGAGGTCAAGAGCAACCATGGTTGTATTTCTGGTATTATTTGAGATATAAAGGCTAGGTAATTTGAAACATGTATTTCATGGTGAGAAGTAAACATGTAGGCCAAAGATCAAAATCACCATCACATCTAAATGTCCATTATATCATTTTTTATTCAAGTTAATAGAAACTATGAGTGTATCTTTGCTAGTTTTGGAGATACATAAGGGCCAAAAAATTTGCAAACTGCACTTCATGGCGAGAAAAATAGGTCAAAGATCAAATTCAGCGCCACATTTATATACAGTGTACCCAATACTTGATTTCCTATTCAAGTTTAATAGTAACTATATGTGTATCTCAGCCAGTATTGGGGACATAAGGGCTAGAATTTTTTCAAAGTTCAGTTCATGGCGAAAAGCAGGTCAAGGGTCAAATTCAAGGTCACATTAAGATTGCCAGCATGTTTTTCTATTTAAGTTCAAAAGTGACTATGGATGTGTCTCTGCCAGTTTTGAGAAAAACAAAGACAGGGAAATTTAGCAAAGTACAGTTCACGGTGGAAAGTTCCAGCAGGCCAAATCCCAAATCCAAGGCCACATTAAGATTGCCAATATGACTCCCATTCAATAGTTCAATAGTAACTATATGAGCGTATCTCTGCTAGTTTTAGAATGCTGCACATTTTATTTTGAAAATCTTTCATCATTGAACATTGCAACGTTGTGTCGTGGCCGACATAGATATCTTTTGAAGTCATATGACGTAATGTGTTATAGTCCAATAGCTCTTGAGTAATGCGGCGGCCTCTTTGTATACGCCGTAGTAAAGAAACTAACTTTACAATTAAAAGTAATTAGGGTTGACGCTCGGTAGTTACATATTCTACGTGAAGTCTCCAACCCCTTGCTCTAAGGCCTTATTCCCATAGATTTTAGATCGATCTATCCCCGCGGGGAGTCTCACTAGATTACTTTCAGATAATCCGACTTAAATGTCCGTCCCGCCTACTACAAGCTGCAAGGGGGTAATTAACCTTCGTGTCCGCCCGGCTGACAGCTATTTAGCGTGAACCCCCAGGGAGTTAGGTCGATCTAAAGTAGGTCGATCTAATCTATGGAAATGGGGTGTAAACTGCGTCTCCGTGCTCCGTCGCTCCCAACCTCTTCCATAGCTCTCGCTGTCCTCACATCTTGTTCAATTCTATGTAAGGTTGTTCTGTTATGCTTCCCTGTGCACGTAAAGTGAAAGACTGAGTCGAATCTGGAGTCATGTTGGAGCCCATAGATTAGTTAATTCGTTAATGGAAATTGATACACTGAAATTCAGTACAGTTATGAATTAAAGTCGTTTTAGACGGTTCACAACAGTTGTATTTCTTGAAATAGAGCAACTCCTGAACCTTATGGGAAAAATGACAGCAACTTTAGAAAACAACAGCGCCAGTTGACAAGACAGCCCGCACTTGACTCAGTCTTTACAAGTTACAGACAGCTTTGGTTTAATCATAGATCTTTATACAGCCCATTGTTTTAATCAAGTGTGAGGCTGCGTTATTTTTCAAATCACGATTATTTTCGTTGACAAATTAAATGAGAAGCTTTGACTTCAATTTTCAAAATCTGGACACTCCTTTCGTAATCTTCGCAGTACACTTTCAAAGAAAGCGCTTGCATATTCGTCTCCCGTCCGGTCGACGATTGTCTTCGATTTCTTACATGTTTCTTCGTCTATTTCAACCAGTGGTTGCCCTGTCCACATTGCCATGACCTTAACAATAAAAAACATTATAAACACCGTCAAAATAGTTTACAGATATGTAAGCCACGCTTAGCGGACGGATTTACATACTCTCAATCTGTCTTTTTCAGCATTAACAGGCAAAAAAGTTGATGCGGAGAGAGAGAGAGAGAGAGAGAGAGAGAGGGGGGGAGAGAGAGCTGTTATTTATGATTCATAAGTTTACTATGGGAGAAGTTACCTGTATTTGACAGGCCCTCTCCAAGTAGTACATTGTGTCAAAGGCTCTGGCAATAGTTGGACCTACAGCCAGGGCCCCGTGACTCCTCATGATCATGGCGTCGTTTTTGCCCAGTGCCTTTGCTATGCGGTCTCCCTCGCAGACATTTTCAACAAAGCCTTGGTATTCCTTGTCATAGGCAACATTGTCGTAGAATCTGAGAGAATTTTGGTGACACATGCGAAGAGTGGGGTCCTGTAAAACCGCTGAAATGACACGAGACTGAGATTTAAAACCACATTCCCTATACTTGACACAACCAAGTGTGGCTTGTCTGTGTACTGTGTATTGTGTAGTATTAGTTATAAAACTGTACTGATGTAGCGTATCTTTTTGTATTTGTAATGTAATGTGTTTTCTGATTCTATGATGTATTTCATGTCCTTGTATGTTTGTCTTCTTTGTAATGTGCTGTATTGTGTTTGTATATGCTTAAAAAAAGTGTGGCTTGTCTGAAGACAGTATCGCATGCCAATTTTATTCTTCATTTAAACCTACCCAGTGCTGTGGCGTAAGGCATGTGGGTGTGCATCACACATGAGACGTCTTCACTTCTAGCGTTGTGAATGCCTCGGTGTATGGAAGCTGCGGCTATATCGGCGTGTCCTTCTCCTTCAACCACTTCATCCTTCTCGTTTAGACCCACTAGTGAAGAAGCCGTAACCTAAAAAATTTAAGACACTACAACGTTTTGTAGTTCCCTTAAAAGAAAGGTATACCAATAATGAAATAATAGCCTTTTATACTAAAACATGTGTTTTTACATGTGGTTAAAAATGACTTATGTTGTATACCTATTTTTTAAGACTGACGGTTTCAGGCCAATTATTCTTTAAAAAACGAAAGTACCTTAAAAGCCTTTCAAGATATAAGTTTAATTAAGTTAAAATAAAAGAATATCAAATGAATGCCAAAATGTTGTCGCTGCCAAATTTGGAAACTTGGTCACGCATCAATTTTTTAAAATATATTTTACTTTTAAAATGAAAGCAGTTGAAGGGCATAGTTAACCATGTGCAATTCACCAAACAATTGTACTTTACTTTACTTTACTGTTAAAACATGATACTAACCACTTTCAAAAAATATGAATGGCCCATTTATCTGTGTCACGCCGGTTATAGGATTATCAGTACTGTTTTTAATCATTAAAACAGACAAGAAACACACTGACATACAGGCCTATTTCTTGCTAAAAGACGCAAAAAGATTCATATTTCCACTCTTCACAATAATTTTTTTTCATTATTCCAAAACAGCGGCAATAACCACGAAACCTTATAAAGGTAAAGAAGGGTAGTGTGCACGTAACTTGCTAGAGGGCCTATTTATCATCCAAAACCTTGCATTCTTAGCAGAATTAAAGTAGGTCAGAGAGAGAGAGAGAGGAGCCAAACTAACTTTTCTCAAGACTGTCGTTTTCAAATTTCAAGACACCCCCTCCCCCAAATTTTTCCTTTAAAATTTCCAGGGCCCACCATTTTCCCCTTCACCCCACCCCACCCCACCCACTAACTTAAAGAATAATCGGTCCCTAAGAAAGGAGGTCCAAGCATCAAGGATGATCATCTTACAATACCTCAGACCAATGAAGCCCGTAGGGAATAAGCAACAGAACTTCGCCCTCTCCATTTGCGGCAGGCGCCCTCACACTAAGGTGATTATCGATCCCTTCATTTAAACCTAGCTTGTCAAGGCCACGGTATGCTCCAGCCAGAGCCACTCTTGCCCGCCGGTTCGCGGCCTGTGCATTGAGCAGGTCATTGTGAGTCGAAGGTTCCGAGCCTCCACACTGAGCATCAGGTACAATCATGTGTACCGACTTTTTCATGTTCAAATGTTCACAAATGACCGCATTTTAAGGTCAGTGCAGTGCGTATCATCTTATCGTCATGAGTCTACTCTTTAGTTGTTGGAGGCACGTTTGTGGTTGCACGTGCACGTAAAATGCTAGGCGAAATGGCCCTATCCGACATAAAACTGCCCGTGTGGGCATGTCACTTTTCTCTGCGGCATTCATGCAGAGGCCGCTAGGCGGTAGTCGTACAAAATTGTAAGGATTCACAGACTCCGTATCCTCTACGATTTTGTCAAGCTGCAATTGTGACATTTTTTAGACTGTAGCCTACTCGAAGATCTTGGCAATAGGCCTAATGCACCTATTGAAACCCCGCCCGGAAACCCGCGACAGGGCGGGGAATTAAACAGCCAGAGGGTGGGGGATGGGGGTATCTACACATAATCATTACACCATTCTCGTAAGGGCATTGTTAAAAGTCTTTATATCCCCGGGTCATTGGGGATTTCTTTCTTGTTAAAACTTCCGGCACTGTGCCCCGAGTGTTCTTTAGATAGGCCTATGTTCGATACCCTGAGTGTCAGAGAAACGTAAAAGCTAGCTTGCTAAATATACCTCGTGGTGGAGTCGCTTTTACGTATTGTTGATATGGGTTATATATGAAATCAAGATCGAGCTGACAATACCGGAATCTAGAACCTAGGGTATGTTCGATCTTCATAAATAAAAAAATTAATACTTTTTTTTAGTTTAAACATGTCCTAAGTGTATAAACATGTAGGGGAGACCGGGGCTAGTTGGACCCCGGGGTAAGTTGGACCCCCATCAATTTATGACAAAGTAGGCCTAACTATGGGGTAAAAGAATTGATCACATCATTTTGTTAAGTGACCGTATCCAATAGTGCTAAGAAAGCGTCGGCAGTGAGTCCAAATGAAATAATCTAGCATCTTAAAGTAACTTTATTAAAGAGACTTCGTGGGGGGCCAACTTACCCCGGGGTCTAACTAGTCCTGGTCTCCCCTAATTTGTCAATGTTCGTAGGCCTACTATCGGATGGTAGAGTAGGCCCTATTTAAAATATTAAAGTCTTCGCCCAGTTGTCTGCACTTTACAAACCGAGTATGGGCCCTGTCCCTTACGGCGCATTCTACTTTCGGTTCAAAGTTAATTCCCCCGCTAACTGCGCCAGCTATTTTATGGCTTGCATTAAATATGGCCAAGGTCCAGGCCCATCTGAGCTGTGTGGTTACACTGTTCACATATTATTTCAAGTGTAAACGAGACAAAATGACAGGGTTACCAATGAAACCGACGTACTTTCGTTTCGTTATCGAACAATTATCAATCAGCATCATTCGACAACAACACAGCAAGCGCACCGAACGCAAGCGGCCGCCCAATCGCCACTATCACATCTTTAAATGCCACAATCCACAAGGCTCAGGGAGGCGAAACTCACGCAGTAATTTCGAAAGAAGAATTGAACAGGCGATGAAGACTTTTAGAACTCTTGCCATGGCGACACTTTCTCCCTGCTTTTGTCGATGCCTACGCAAAATTTGTGCAGACAGAAGTAGGGGAGACGGGGACTAGTTGGCCCAGTTAGACACTTTTGGCCTTGTAGAGCCAACTAGGAGTGGGTTAGAGTAACAAAACCGGTTTCAAACTAAGCCCCATGAACTAAGCTACGTATGCAACGTCATTGTTTTTCAAATATAATGCCAGGTGGCTCACAATTTGACAAAAAACGCAGTTGACGTCAGGGGGGCCAACTTGCCCCGCCATGGGGCAAGTTGGCCCCAGGGTTGGGGCAAGTTGGCCCCCATATACGAAAATGAAGTATATATCCCATGTAAACGCCTTGAAATACATTTTTATAAAATTTTAATTTATTTAATTGATTTTTGAGAGTCTTTGATGAATAAACAGTTCAATTAGGCAGATTTATTGAGGTTTCCGTACGTCACGTTGTTGGGGGGGGGGATGTGTTGCAAGAACCAAAATATCTATCAATAAAATGTGTTTTGTTTTAATTAAGAATAAATAAATAATGGTATAAAGAAGGTTTTTAATGAATGAAAACGAATAATAAATTTTCTTTTTAAAAGAAAGTATCAAATTCAGTTTTAAACCATTGAGTTTGTTTCAACAATGGTCTCTAGCTAGGGAGTGGTGGAAAATCCCCTTGGGGCCACATATAACACAATAAATACAAAGGGAATCCCCTTACAATGAATTAAGGCAAAATAAATGTTTTTTCTACGGAAAGTCCAATGGTTTTGCTTTTTAATACTTACAATCAACAGAATATTTCTAATATAAATTTTCAAAACGACACCAGAGAGAAAATTTAAAAAAATCAATCAGACGGTAATAGACACCGGCAAGCTTTGTCAATTTCACCAACTTGTTTATTTCAAACAGCGTTGCGCGCAAAGGTTTGTGGGTAATATGAGGGTCCAACTTGCCCCGAGTCAAGGGGGCCAACTAGCCCCGGGTGCACATTATTTATTTTAAAGGATGGTAGCCATTTATGGTGCTAGAAAGAGCAACGATGATACATCTCTGTGAAACTTGAAACAATGAGCTTCAGTTTGATGCTCTATACATATCTTAAATTCGATCAAAAGCCTATGAAAATAGATTTTTAAATCTCTTAAACAAAATTACTTTTAGGTGCAAAAATCGTTTATTTCGACTCACCGCTTAAGTAAAACTTTTTAACGTCCGACACTTCCTTAGCATTGTAGGCTACGGTCACTTTGCAAGAGTATGTGGCCAATTTTTTTACCTCGTAGTTACTTTTTCATAAATTGACGGGGGGCCAACTTACCCCGGGGTCCAACTAGCCCCGGTCTCCCCTACATGTAGCCTCAAACTCTAGAAAAGTTGGAATGAAGAGCATAAAGTGAAGAAGTAATTTTTATTTATGAAGCTAGTTAAGAGGTGATTTTAATTCATAAAAATATGAGAATTACAACTGCCGATATTTTAAGTGTTTGACGCCAATTAAGTATAAAAAAACAATATCATTTGTAATTTATTGATGTATTGTCATTGCTACTATCTAGCCATTCAATAAGCGTTGTGTCTTGTTATGAGGCTGGTACGTAGGGGGACCTATGTCAAATAATACACCCTCTCGCCAGAATTTCAGAATTTTCAATACTGAACCTCCCGTGCTCGAAGAGTGGCTGACAAGATTTTGGATTTTGGTTCACGATCTCGATGCCTCAAACAACAATGTCCGCTTCGATCTTGAATGCTTTCTCCATCGCCATTGCTTTTGTCAATCGGCTTATGAGAATGGAGCATCCTGCTTTGCACTTAGGAGAGATTGTGCTGTAATGGTTGAGGTCGCCGATGACATGCAAAGCCCTAATTAGTAATGACAAAGTTGCTGTAAAGGTGCTGAGGACTACTCCAAAGTCCTACTGCAACTGCGAGAAAACCACACTGAGAGTTTAACTAGACCTGCTCACAACTGAAAACTATTGGTGATTTTTACTCACTCTCTGGTGTTCTATGGTGTGTAGAGTGAATAAAAATCACTGACAGCTTTCATTTGTAGGTCTAGATGAGATCTACACGAAACTGTCAGCAGGATTTCAAATAAGTAAGATTCTAAACATCATGAATATTTTAAGTTTACCTATTTGCAGATTCAATAAATTATTTTCTCATTTAAACTCCGATTTTCCCGACTTTCACCTTGAAATGACCCACAGTATGTTCGTCAAGTTGCATTTGAAGATACTGAAGGAGCCCGCCATTATAAACTTTTGATCTAGTTTATGAATAGTATGGATAGGTAACCTCTGGGTCGGTTTGATAAAATAACTTTATTTCAGACCGTAATTGTAACTTAATTTTAAGACCGGATTGTTGATCTAGTACAATTCTGGATATGTCTTTGGTGGTTCGCTAAAATAAAGTAGGCCTAACATTTGGTATCAAACATTGGCCACTTCTTTCTATTTTTAAACAGGCACAACATTTCAATTAATTGCATGTAAGTGGATTACCAAATTGATTAAATTCAGGTCACAGTAGTCTAAAACGTTTGTCTTAAAGTCGGTGTAAGTTTCTTTTGTGAAACCGGCTCCCAGTGATAGTTTTATTTGAAAAAATATCCCTAGGTGTATTTTTTCGGTGGCAGGATCATGGCCAGGCCACACAGGGTTTTCAGGCATGGAGTTAGTAAAATTGTATCTGGCAGCGATACAACTTGACATGCTCTGTGAAATCAAGCGTGAGAATATATCCCCATAGCCAGAGTTGAGATTTTATAAATAAATAACTCTCGTTGTTGGTTCAATAAGTAATCCTTGAATCCACAAAGGGAGAAGCAGAGGAGGCACTAGTCTGGTCGCGAATATCCCCAGATTCATTTTTACTGAAATGGTTGACAAGGATCCCCTCCACACCCTCAACACTGGGTGGTTTTCTTCGTCACTTGTCAACATCTGGCTACTGGACTGATTGTGTCCATCTGAATCGATGGGACACTGGTCAGGTCACCACAATCAGATGGTTATCTTCAATGCTGAATATTGCATTCCCTCTAGGCTTTGAGACGGGTAGTTTTTAGTAGTAGATTTATGACTTGGACTTCACACTGTAAATGGCGATGTTTGGTTCATTTTGAACTTCATAATGTCTTTGCGGAATCATACTTTATTTTTGAGATTGTAGTAACTGTGTCATTGTGAAAATAAAATAAAAATAAAGTTGAAAAAATACACATGGACATAATCTTCATTTTTATTAGACCATGTAGTGAAACATCAGTGCAGTCAAGCTTGTCAATCTGCCTTAACCTTGTCCTTTTGGAGTCGAGAAGTTCACGGTGAACTTTTCAATAGGAAAAAAAAAGAGCAGATACATCTCACATTCCAGTAGTAAGTCTTCTCTATCGCAATATTAGGAATTTTTTCATTGAAGGACATAGAATTGACTCGAGATTGTCAGACATATATTTGTTTGATTGTTTTGTTTGAAGGCTTTTACAAAAGATATTTGACATCTTACCTTACAATGTGCAAGCTTAAGTAATCTCTGCACAGTTAACCCCACCTCACGTGGATATTCGTACGTTTTCTGGTCTCTAATGACGTCACAGTGATATTAAATGAAAAAAATGATATAAAATCTTATTTGAATAGATACTTATAAAAGAAACAAAACATCGACCAGTCAAAACGTCTTAGTTTGTGAACTCGTTCAGTACTGAGAAGGACTTCAAGAATCGCCCCCTTGTTAAATTGCTCCGAAATTGTTATGTCTAGAAACCTCTAATCGGTGGCATTTTTGGACAATAAATCAGACCTGAAGAGTGGAAAAAACCATTCCCCGTTAACCGAGCAGAACCACCATCAATGTAACGGGGGGTCATATCGTTTCGTGAAAAAGAATAGATCAACCGGCGTGTATTCCTGCTGGTTTCGGACGAGTTATGCATACGTATCAAAGTTGAGGCAAGAGTACTGCTGCGTATCCGGCCATAGACACGGTATGGAACAATTTCACTGAGGTTTCCAGGAGCGTAAATTGGATATAGCTTGGGTGATTTCATGGTAACAGATTCCATGAATAACGCTGTAGAGTAATTACTTAAAACACCGGTATGCCTTAAGACCTTTGGAACGTATTGGCGCCTTTCATGTTTTGTTATAGATGATGGCATAGTCGCTTGAAGAATCACAGATCAAGCATGTCCTACTTTTGTTCCGGTAGCCTGTCGGGCCTATGTATAAAGAGTTTTACTGGGTGCAGAAAACCCGTTGTATCCTTTACGTTTTAGTATACAATCGGGAATTGTTTTAAAAACAAACGTTGTCACCATTCGGTTATACATGTATGTTTTTAGGCCTACTTACTCGACCTCTTGCTCAAAACCAAAAAATTCTGTATCTTTCTTAACAGCAATTTCGCATAAGAACTGACTAATTGTTCTTAATTGTTCTCAAAAAAAGTATTTTAAAAAAGTTGGTTTGCTTCAACAAAAATGTTTTAATATCTTACATGGTTCTTTTATACCAGTTAAATTATTTTATTTAAAATGAATATTTGTTTTGACAGCAATGAAATCAGCTACTGTGGTTTAATGGAGAGATATTTATAGGGCCTATCATAAAACCATTAAGAACCAGATTTTAAAATAAAAAAATTAATTATTTTAAGCTTATATATGTGTATCAAATGGCGCAGGGGAAGGCAACAGTTTCTCATTTCACTAGCCCATTACTTTTTTCATAGCAATTAATGTTGGTGTCACCATTAGCAACTACCAGTACTGCTGCCGGTATATAAACAAAAGGCAACAAGCAGGTAATGCTCACTATTATGAAATTAATTTTTTTATTCGCTGACAAATGTACACATCAACGCATAATCGAACAGACTATGTTAGTTAATAAATAAAATAAGCATATTTTGCTTCTAACTGTAGGCTAAATGTCTATAAACATTGAAAATTACAAAGGGCATATAGGGATATCCACAACAGTCAGTGGTTGTCAACTTACGTGATATACTAATAATATAAAGCATTATAATATTTCAATAATGTCTTGTTCATCTAACAATTTAACTCATATATAACATTATCATATAACATTATCGACTGTCACTGTCAGCAATACTACAACTGCGTCCTGGACTCTCAAGACTGGGCCGACGCGTCATATACTCTTTTAAACATCCTAATTTACGTTCTTCTCTGTTAGCTTGCCGCCTATCTCCATTGGCCAAATGCACGGGAGAATCCTCTGAATGCTTCCTGTAACTTGAGAAATTCGACAGCGTTAAAGCCACAGAGTTTCTTACACTTGTGCGTCTTGAACCTCCATTTTGGGCACTCTTTAGTCGATCCGACATTGCCCTTCGCAGATCAATTCTAAAACACGGACACCACCGCAACGCAAAACGAAATCCATTACGAAACTTTGAATTCATCCAGCAATACACGATCGGGTTGATGCAGGAGTTGCTCATTGCCAGCCAGTGTATGGAAATCCAGATGAGATTAATGTATTTATAAAAATAGATACCTGGATGACGATCGCCGATCAAGGTTATAGCGTGGAGAGGGAGCCAGCATATGGCGTACAGGGAGACAACCGTTATCATCATTTTCACCATCTGAAAGAAAAAAAGATATGATCAAGGGTCTTTTTCAGAAAAAGAAATTTGATCTTATCTTTCAGACAAAAATTTTAGTCTACTTAGACCCACGTAAAATTAGTGGTAGACTGGTAGTCCAACCAATACTGTGCAGCATAGGTTTCTCCGCCAAAAAATCATGCTTTACGAATTTTCCTGGAGTAAACAGTATTTTTCTCTGACTAAGCCAATCTTTGATCCTCCTTTCCTAGCACTTGCCATAACATAAGATCTAAGATAATTAAAAAAATCATTTACCCATGCTTAAAGCATGGGATTTTCAAACTCCGTCATCACTTCGAGCACTGACCGTGATTCCAAACGTTGCCAAACTGGTGGCCAGGCTCGTCAGGAGAGTGATGAATTAGATTGATTTTGGCGACGTTAAATCATGGTATATATTTGTTAAAAAAGATGGAAAAGTATTTTTCCTTGTTCAATAAGAAGTGATTGAAGTAAAAACGCGTCTTTAAAATCATATGCTTGTCCCTTTACATGAAATATTGCGCCTGGTTTCTAACACGAAAACATGGCTAACACTTCAGAGAAGCTGCATTTGAAAAGTGAGACCCAATCCGAAGAATGTCTATATCATGTGGGATGGGCATATTCATCGAACAGTTAACGCTGAGAATACCTTTTTATTCATAGAATGCAATGCATTTTGAATGTATGCAAACAATAAAAGAACCATGCTTGTGCAAATATAGCAGTTTAGGTTGCAGGAGAAAGGGCCATGTAGGTAACAAATTGGTTACACTGCTCTTAATTTTAAATAATGCATAGAAACACACTGGAAAACAATAACTATCACTGTAATTTTATTCCCTCTACACTTTGGTCTTTGAGCAAAGTAAAAACTTGCTACTATTTAACGCATGCGTCAGCACGCAGGTAGAGGCGTGTGGTTCAAGTTAACCTAACAGATTAAACATGGCCAATCCTTGGGATGGGTGTCTATCAGTTTTTACTGTTTCCAAATGGTTCAGATGTTCTGTGCATTTAAAACCTTTAACGTAGCTGATAAGGTACGCCAACCGTCAAAGTGCATTAGAATTTCAATAAATGAATTACATTTAAGACATTGACTGCGACGATTTTGAACACACGGGTGTGATGATTATACTAGATAAATATCGTAAAATGGAACGTTTGGATATACTTATTCCAGTAAGCTCAGCTAATAGCCAGGCGGATGAATTTTTTCTCAGTGGATTCCTCACCCTTTTAATCCCAACAAATTCAACAATACATATCTGGTGGTAACAAGCACGTATCCTTGGTCGCCGATGTCCTGCGAATACACGTACATGGGTATCAACTACTACTACTAGGAAAAAGAGTGCCCAATATCAAATTATGTTTGTTTCTCGGTGTTTTCCACAGCTTCAATATCCCTATAATATATGTTAATGGTCGGTAAAAAGTGTGCGTTCTTTGGCATTTTGAGAAAACCCAAGATGGCCTCCATTTTCCATGAAAATTCCTGGGTTTTAACTATATAAAATGGCCATAAATATAATGTTCGTTATCAGATAAAGTTTGCTTCTCAGTGTTTTCCACATACTTATTACCCCTATGATATATATCTGGTTGTTAAGAAGTGTGTAACAGCGTGAAATCTGCTTATTTTGAAAAAAGAAAACAAGATGACCGCAACTTGCCATAGCACATGCATGGTTAGGCCCTATAGCTAGCGTCAGGCAGAAACAGTGGTCGCTATCAAATTAATCACATTAATCCAGCGCCCTGTTACGTTTAGAAGACAACTGAAATAAAAACTACATACTATTTCATTTAGTTTGGAGAATTTTAACTAAAAATAAATTAAACAAATGTAAAAGTTTCATCTTATATGCACTGCGCAACCTTTGGCCTTCGGCCATTTACGTACTTACATAATAATATATTCTACCGGTAGATCCCGACTGATCTTGTTAAATTATCCTCTTTGATTACAATTACATAATTTACGTAAAATTAAAAAGGTACCCCCCCTTCTTAGGGGTGTCATATAATTTGACTTGTTATTCCTTTAAAAAGCTTCCAACGTTTGTTTAGGTTGCAATAACTATCCACACCTGTTGCGCAACTGGTGATAAAACACTTGCAGACGCGCACTGGAAAATCACATTTGTGACTCGGAACTGAGAATAAGCGTTTTTAGGAAAAAATTCCCTAGATGATACAATTTCTAATAGAGGTGGTCTTGTCTTGTCTTGGAATCATATAATTAAAACAAGAAACGCTAGCCGAATTTATAATGATTGGATAAACCAAGCATTTTGTCAAAAGAATCTATTGTCTCTTAGGATTAGCATGCACAATGTTCACGTTGCTTACCTTTCTCTTCGAAGCTGCCATTCTTTGATCCCTGTTATTGAGGGCCTCCCCAGGAATCTTTTGCACCCAAATTACAACACCAATTCTTAGATAGGTAAAACTTAAGACGCAGAGAGGCAGAACGTATTGTAAGACCATGATTGCTGCCGTATACTGGAACCTCTGTGTCCAGTCATGCCAATGTTCGTAGCATTTGTTATCTTCATCTACTTTTGACAATATTGCTGTTGGTAAAGGGACAACCAGGGACAGAAACCAGATATTTGCAATGACGATGACGGCCATTTTGCTTGTCATACGCTTCCGAAGAGGATAAATAATGGCAACATATCTGTCTACGCTTATCGCCACTAAAGTAAAGGCGCTCAGAAATACTGACACAGCCTGTACGTATAAGACAATAGGACAGAGCAATGCGCCAAATGGCCAGTAGTTCAGTAAGATATTTGCGACAAAAGTCAACGGAATACACAAAACTGCCATCAAAATGTCACTCACTGCCAGGTTGACGATAAAATAGTTTGTGACAGTTCGCATCCTTTGATACGCCAATACGACATAGCATACTAGAGAGTTCCCACCTATTGCCAATACAGTGATGGCCGAGTACAAGACAATCAATATACCCGTTACATATCCAGGTACTATAAAATATGGTATTTCTGTCACATTATTTGAGGCATTTCCTGACAAAGTGGTGGTATCCATCCCTATTGTTTCCAATCCATCAACAGTGTTGGGTTCTTCGCGTGTTATGTGATTTGTAATGTTCACAAACACAGCCGTCGCAGGAACCATTCTGACTCCGTGGAACTTGGTTCCAGTCACTACGGCTGAAGTCCCTTGGATAGTGGCTTGATCTTCAGCATGTGAACCCTCTTTTTAGGTCATTACTGAATTTGTCCAGACATCTGCAAAAAGAAACAATCGCTCTAAGTGGTATTATTCGCATCTCAGCAAGAGCTATGCTTGTGAAAACATTTCTTGAACGAAATGCTACGAGCAATCACATGTGAAAGTATACAAACATGTGTACTGAGGCCGGACAGACTATTCTAATTTACCTCAACTCCTCCTATATTGTTGCACCTTTGAAATGTTTTCTGCAGCAAGCAAAGTACATGTATAAGTTATTTGTTTGCATGCTTTTTGTACATTTCATCGAACGTGTTTTGACACCGTGAAAGGTTTGCTAACAGTACACCTGGTTAAGCCGTTCTGGAAGGTGTCTAAATCCATGCACTCGCATTTTTTTAAAATCCAACATCAAGTCGTTGATTTTCAACACTTATAAGATGTCGTCGTGTCTTATGAACGATGAAACCATATTTCACAGGAAATCCTTATAAGCACTGCTCTGGAACAAATGTGTATGAAATGGCGAAGCCTGCCTATGTTGCTGATGAAGTTTTACTGATGAAATGTAAAAATCAGACATGATTACTGTGGCCATCAGGCATTTCTAAGAAACAGCATAAGAAAGGTGTGTCAAAAACATTGCCATTCGTCATCTTTATAAATATGTCGTGCTAAGCGCACATTTGGCTTCAGAAAATTTTCCGTCGCTGCCAACTTGATATATAACCATGACAGAAAAACACCGTTTACCTTTCAAATCTCACTTGTAAGGTTATTGATATCCATTTATAGGAAACACGCCTCGGGAAAAGTAACTTGTGTAGACCTTAAACCCCCTTTACACTGGACGGCGTCCTTTCTGCATCCTTTGTGCGGCCATGAAACTATCGTAGATAGGAGACACAAGTATCGATTTGGTTGCAGAATGAATGCTCAATGATCGGCAAGTTGACGGCACGTAAAGAATTATTTTTTATTCCCAAACGGGGCCGTACTACGGGACGCAGAAAGGACGCCGTCCAGTGTAACGAGGGTTTTAGAACTTCTGAAACTAGACTCAACAGCTAGGTGAATACTTACAACAATATGACTACGCAGAAGCAAAGAGGCACTTGGATCATTTACAACCCATGATCAATAAATGATTCCCTAAAAGTTCTTATGAAGAAACACGTAAAGTCTAGAAGTTTTCAATTTTGTAACAGAAAAAACAACGACAATCTTATTTAGATATGCCTATTGCAGCAAATCCTTGGCAAAATGGGAGCATGTAAGAAAAACCGCCGTTAGCAAACTGTGTTCATTAAATAGATCTTTTTACTTAGTGTATTCTATTTTGAGTAAATACTTTAAAGAAAAAACTTGCCTAAAGGAAAACGATCTATTATTTTCCTTCCTTTATACAGATTCCTTTTTGTATTCCATCGGCAATTTGGAAGCAATAACTGCTTCAATGTTTCTTTTTGTGCTTCTGGTTTTTCAAAACATTAAATTAGGGAGACACAGTGCTCGATCCAATATGATAGATAAGGTGTTTTGATAAAAACTATTTTACAACAAAGATATTTACGCAATTCGATACCTTTCGTGGCATTAAAATTTGGCATTAACTAGATCTCACAAAGATCTATGGTGAATTGAAACCATAGGCGGAGGATGTTTAATTCCTTTTTAGGTCTGACTTAACTCGTAATGTTTTTTTAAACATTCAACAGGTATAAACATATAACGTCAAATGGATATAAATATTTGTGTTAGCAAACATATAAATGGAGTTTAACACCAGTTTAGTTCATACCATTGATGACAAGACATTAAGAAAGAAGTTACAGGCAAGTGGTTTGCCAGCTTTCTTATTTTTTCGGAGCTCTCAGTCATGGCTGGACAAATCACATTATTGAAAACTAAACTGTGTTTTTGCCTTTTTTTCATTCCCAACTGAGAAGAAAATATGGACAATACAGGTTGCCTCCAACCTTAAAGGTATACTTTGCGAAAAGTTCCCATTTATTAATTTGTGTGTGTGTGTGTGTGTGTGTGTGTGTGTGAATACCCCGCAAAGCTACTTATGCTTCCCAATCAGAAAAAAAAAACTCAAGTTCCTGATGTTAATATTTTGAAAATATGCTGGTCTAACGTGTAAAAGTGAATAATTTAGTTGGAGATTGTATAAAACGTAAAACTAAGTGTGAGGTAAATGACGCCGTAAATGATTCATCCGCAAAAATTCCGCATGGAATACCTTTAACCCTCTCTCTCTCTCTCTCTCTCTCTCTCTCTCTCTCTCCCTGGGGTTGCAGTTAAATGCAGACGTTTATTTCTTATCGTTTTTTGAGGCTTCCTATGAGTGCTTTATTTGATGATAGTATGCGGATTAAAGGTGTCGTATACGGCATTAATGCTCGGCCAAGACCTTTACTCAATAATCTTCAGGAACCACTATGCCACTATGACACGGACCATTGTACTATATTCTTCTAAAGTTACATATGCCCTTTAAACACGTTATTAATACAATTTCTTTTTGCAACTGACATATACCGAGTCAGCAGTTATGGTTACACATTTGACTGGGTATTAATTTCGTTGAAACAAAGGGATACAACATGTCTTTTGATATTATTACGGGGTATCTGCAATGAAGTTGGGAAGGCAACAATGATACCATGTTTGATGCCTTTCAGCTTTACCGAAATTTAAAATATCAAGAATTATTCAATATTCATACATAATAACATAATTTTGTATCTGAAATCAAGAGAGAAGAATAATAAATAATATAACTTATTACATCTTGACCCTTTATTTATCTATAAAATATCAGCAAATGTTGCATCTTTTTATCACATTAGTGTTTTAGACAGAGAACCTGCCTGTTATGACAAACTTGACAGAAAAAAAACTACGAATAAAAAAGTTTCTGGTGCTATTTAGGTTTTATGTCCACTCCTGTTAACACGTTTCTCATCCTGGCTCTCAGCTTTTTCATCGGAAACTTACCTTTAAAATATTTTCATAGGCATGTTGTTTCAATAGGTAACGTGTTGGTGGGTAGAGTGCCCGACACTGTGCTGAAATACAGGTTACACTGTATCTGTCCTGTTTGAGTATTCTACCTGTCAACCAGAGCTACTTGATTATGTGTGTGAGATGGAACGTGAGTATACATCCAAACTCCTTTACAAAATAAAATTACTTTTGTGTAAAAGGATAACTCTTATTACACAATGAAAACTATTAATGAATAACTAAAAGCCCTTTCTGTAGCAAAATCGACAAATAAATTCATGAATCAATCATCCTATTTCTAAACGGCCCAAAGGATTTCGTGATTCCACAATCTACATGACTTGTTGTTATACCACAGTCGAAACCAAACTAACTAACCGCTTGTACTTTACCTCCAATCACTTGTTCCAACTGATGTAACATGAACAAATGCTGAGAAACATCCTTGCCTTGGCTTTAAAGAGAACGAAGCGTGAACCTTGGAGAAAGAGCGGGTTTAAACAAGACCTCTCATTTTTGTGGCGAAACAAACCGTTCCTGACACAGTTCGCAAGGTCGCCGTATGGTATATATTGGTTTACAATGTCGCTAATGCAACTTGTCAAAGACTCAAGAGGGGGCTGCTCGGATAAGGTCAAATACAACTGAACTTTTGCCAAATTTTACAGATGTTTGAACAGATACCCTTAATACTGTTTACTCTAACTGGATGTTTTAGGGCATGTACGGTGAAAGTGAATCTACCAGATTGTATCAACTTCAAATGAGAGAAATTTTCAGGTCTGTGTAGCGTGTTAATCTGCAGCTTGTATGACATGGGCTAGGAATGTGGTCCGAAAAAAAATAGCCAAAATAGAAAAAAAAAAGAAAACATAAATATCGAAAATACATAGATAAAGATGAAATGAAATGAAGTTTTAAAAAGTGATCCAGACAGACTGAAGAACAGACAGACAGACAGATAGATAGATAGATAGATAGATATAGAAAGATAGATAGATGGATTGATAGACAGAAACACTGTAGGGACAAAAAGAGAGAGAGAGAGGAAGAAAGGAAGAAAAATTAATTCAATGACTATAAGAAAAAAAAAAGAAAGAAAAGAGAAAACTAAAATTAGGCAGATTAAGAGTGTAAGAAGAAAGGCATTTTTAATAATTCATTCATAGAGTTTCCGAGAAATAATCAACAGCCTGCATTCCAACGCTGTCAAGATTATTTTAGATAGTTACAAATCAAAATCCTCGACCTCCATTAAATGTAAGATCAGCGTCGCGTTAAATAAGAAAATGTTCTTTAATTACCAACAGGTTTTTTTCTGCACAGTAGGATGGAATCAAAGTAAACATAAATCACACATAACAAGAAATAGCAACAAGGGGCCTGCCTTTATCTAATCTCTTTCCCACCGGTTAAAAAATTACATTCTGATAAAATTGACTCAAAACTCTTTCTAGTGGAGTTAACAAGAAAAACAGCAAGAGTTCAGGTAGAAATCTACCTAAACATTTCTGCAAAACATCGCAGCAGAATACATATAGCAAACACACAAGGCAAAATATAAGAACTGTTTAATTTGCCACTGCCACCAATAACTAGACAAAAATGCTATCATTTGAAACGAATTTCAACAAAATTACCTAAATGAACAAAGGAGAAAGCAAAAAGTACATAAACGAAAAAAATCGCTAATTACTTTTTAGCGAAATTGGAAAGAATCGTATTTCTCCTGGAATGTACAGAAGAAGCATTGACAGCTCGAGTTAAAAGCTATTAAACAACATTTCAACACAGTTATCCAAAATGAAAAAGGAATCAGAGGTTAAAAGCGTTGCAAAATACGTTTCAGCAAAATTACCTCGAATCACCTTTCTAGTGCCAGTGGAGTAAGTAGCAAAAACAGCTAGCGTTCTCGTTTATCATAGGCAGGAGACGAGCACAGGTGCTGGCGGAGATAAGGGAGTGGTCAGGTGAGGGCTTTTCAAGATAATGATGAATGTCCCACTCAATCTCTTTTAATGACAATTTAAAGGAGATCACATGCTATATCCCCATATTGAAATTGACATAACGGTTTACCTTTCATTCATGAACAAGTCCAATATGTCAGATGTAGTGAATGATAGGTTTGCATACCTGTTACGCGTATAGAAAATATTTGTTTCTGTCTTATCATCCGCTCCGTGAAGTTAACATGCATGCAATTTTGGGGATCTCAGTTGATCCAAAAAGATTAAAAAAAAAAAAAAAGAACCGGATGAGGCCGGTACTTGCGGTTTATTGGCTCGTGTAATACTTAGCCACTTACGCCACTTTCTGGGCGCCAATTGGTTCTTTTACAGAAAATAATTGACCAAACTATCACTGAACTATAACAGTATTCACTCCATTGTTTCCTGAGAGAACCGATTGAATGATCTTAGAATGTGATTACAGTTTGATTGTTCTTGCTCTGTTTTTTTTTTCCAATCTCACATTTTTCAGTCTTTTGGTCATACAATACCGTGGATTTAAAGTGTTACAAAACACAAAACGATGAGCAACCCTAACTTTGTAAACATTTTAGACCGATTCACGAACGGTGCAATGTTATGTAGTGTGAATGGCCCTACGTGGAGTAACTGCACGTAACTACAGGCTATGACTGGGAAGTACATTAAGGGCACCATGTAGACATGTAACAAGCGCCCGCGTTCTTTAAGGAATTCTACCACAGTGTAGACAGGTACATTAACCGTGTAAAAAATGATCCACGGGGAGTTGAGCTCGCTAAAAGAAATAATGCATTGCGGTACTCCTCTCTAAAAACAGTTGTTATCTCAGTGCAAGAAAGCTTATTTGCTTTGCTAGTTACAATAATGTGATTGTGTTCAGTGCTTAGCCTTTACAATTGACATTAGCGATTGGCATGCCCCTTTTCAATTTAATTATGCTTACATTTTGTACTCGAATGTCTGAAAAAACTGCTTCAAAACGGATGCGTGTAAATTGTATCAGACAAAGGTTACACAGTATTTCTCTCCGGGTGAGAAAGAGCGAGTTTTCTCTTTTTGTGGCCAGTAAAAACTCGCACCAAATTTCTGGATCCAATATCCTTCTCATTCAAACAAAGCTAAACAAATGTTTTACGCTCCCAATTACATAGAGTTGGGTTATCAGGCTAAGTAGTCTCAGGTATCTCACAACCGTGTCAGGAGAATGTAAGCCATTTGGCGCCGTAATTTAGAACCTTGAACTAATGTGAGGCTATCCATTGTTAAGACATCAGAAATTCCTAATGGTTGTTACTGGCATTCTGACGAATGTAAACGTTTGCTTATGTTTATGTGGGAACTGGTACCCCAAGCCATACAAACATTTCAATTCTGAGTTATTACATGCTATAATGCCGTATCGGTTTGAAGCAATTGTTCACTATACAGCAATTTTGATACATGGTTCTTTTGTAGGAAAGCC